GGTTCAGGGTCTGCATCCGCTATGCATCTTGACATTCAGTGTCATGTAGAACCCCATAGGGAAGCATTATGCTTACCTATGGGATTCTACATGATGCTGAATGTCCCTTTTGCATACCGTGAGGACATCCAGTGTCAGGTGACCAAAAGTCACCTAACAACCTGGAAGTCCCTCTAGTGGTAGACAACCACTAGAGATCAACCCTCAAAGCTAATTATTGCAGTTTATTAAAAATCTTCAATAATTACCATTGCAGAGTTAAGGGACACGGCACCCAGACCACTTCAATGAGCGGAAGTGGTCTGGGTGCCCGTAGTGTCCTTTTAAACTTTCAGTTCATTATGATTCAGTGTTTAGTGAATAAACCCCAAATTAGAGGCAGAGCTGCTCACCATCTGTAGGGAATGAGGACAGCTGAAAACCAAGGGGTGTTTATTTACTGATCACAGGTTTGTGAATGGAAAACCACATTGCAAGATTGAGGTTAAGATTACCAAGCTTTGAATAAAGATGAATTAATTATACAATCAGATATTTCAGCAAATATTTTGCAATTAAGATTTAATTTTCTATAGTTTTGATTAGAGAATCAGCCTTAGTACTGAGAGCCCTGTCCACAGGCTTCCAATCTATGAAATAGAGACAGGTGAATGTATCAATCAGCCCTGCCCATAATCTTCCAATCCAGTGCTATGGAATTAGGTGAAACATGGATAGAGCCCAGTAAGAGATGAAGTCTAGAAGTAATTGGAGATTTATATAGTCACAATGTGAACCGAAACAGAGAAAGATATACACAAGGTATGTGTATTACAACATTATTTTACTTTATTTATTATATAAAACCAAATTCTATCCAATGGTGGCTTTTCTATGCAATTTAGGAATGTTTAAATAACACCAGATACGTTGTAATGCAACAGTTTGCAATGTCCATAACATTGGACACACTAATTATATTCCATCTACCTATGTATGTGTATTTTGTGTGTGTGTGTGTGTGTGTATATATATTATTTTTAAACAGCCAAACAAAAACTATTCATTGTGTGTGTGTGTGTGTGTGTGTGTGTGTATATGTATGTACATTTAAGTAATGTTTCTGCAGAGCTACTAGTTGCCATATCCACAGTTTTTTTATTCACTAAACACTGAATTGCACTAAAATGAAATCTTCATGGCAGGAGTCAGGCAAACATAGGTGATGTGCGGGTGGAAAAAAACATGACCAGGCTATAGAGTCTAGACTCGTCTAGAGTGACCCTGCTTGGCTATTTTAGCCTCAGTGTTGCTATTTGACTTTAGGCTTGTTAGAAGTCGTATTAAATTCCTTTACACCATCATGTTATAGTCTCACAATGAACTAGGAAGTCTTTGCTGTTTTTCATGATATTTTCCAGCAAGTCACAAGGTTTAACTCATAACATACCAAATACACAGAGCCACCTGATTTTATCTTGATACAGTGGAAAATCCTGTAACAACTCGCAGAAAATGTAAATCCATGTTTAACCTTATATCTCACAAAAAAGATAGAAACTAAAGTATATTTTGTGGTTTTATGGAAGGTAATTAAAGGCCTGATATATTCCCACTGATCAGGCTGACTTTTGCCTTCTTTGCTGAAACTACGAAGCCTGAAATAACCCCAGCTAAGACAAGGCTTTGTATTTATCTGATAAGAGTTTCTGCTTACTGAAGAAAACCGCAGTCTTGGTCATATTCTATGATTATGCAATATTGCCGGTTTTAAGCCAAACATGGTGTGTCCTCAGCATACTCTCGTAGACGAGGAGACATAACTTAAGACAGACATTTGCACTTCTTTAGGGCACAATTCTGAGAAGCCATAGGCTCCTAAAGACACAGTATGTAGACGTGACAAAGAGCAAAATGAACTACAACTCCCAAAATACTTTGCAAAGGGTTCAACCCCAAAAAAGTGCTTAGAAGGAACTGTTTTAGCAATACTCACCATGACTCCCTTAGCCAGTTTTATTTATTTTTTTGAAGCTGTAATGGGTAGTGCTCGAAACGCAACACACAAGTAATCTGTAAAAACTGAAATTAAAACAGACGTGCCCAAATAAGTCCAGTCCAAGCTGATGTTGAATTGCATTGATATTCCGTCTGGTGTCATCTTTGCTCACCAACGTCAAGCAATGTTGTTGTCATATTACCAATAATTACAGTTACTGGGAAAATAAAAGTGTAGATTGCTGCCAAATAATTAGCACCGGAGTCCAGGACAGGCAGTGTGAGGAGCGATGGGGACCTGATGCACATGTGCGGTGAGTGCAGCATACGCATCCAAGCTTCCCCATAGGAAAACATTGCAACACTTTGATCCTATTGATAAACAAGGTTATTCACCTAGGAAACTATGGGGGCTTCCAGATCACATGACCATTTTACTGGGCGCACGCAGCCGAAGTGCCTCTAGTTATTTCTGCAATATAAACATATAAACATTGCAATTCCTTAAGGGTTAAAAGGGACAGTGGCCTGCATAAACTACAACTGTCCTTTTAATAAACAAGGTTATTCACTTAAGTGTTAATTATTGGGATTTGAAAGTGATTTTCTATGATCGTTGTAGTGACATTATTTAACAGACTTTAACAGTTTCCACCCATCATAATCCAAACTGTGTGTTTATAGCTCCAAGAGCCATTCAAAGTTAAATTGGGTTATAGAAGGAAGGCTATTTTTAACATGTCCTGGGAATTTTCAGAAAGCGGCTTATTCTGTGCTAGGATTACCCACAAGACACTGCAGCTATTGGCAAGAAAAGCCTTTTTTTTTTGCCTTACAGTAGCTGTAAATGGCATTATTAAAATTAACATTTCTATGATGGGTCAACACTGCCACCTTCCTTTTTTTGGAAGAGTATTAAATTAGCATTCCAGGTACCGAGATAGTTACATTGGGTGAGTTTATATTCTAAAAGAGACCATTCAGGATCCCACACACCATAGATATAGTGTCGGTTATAGTTAATTATACTGTGTGACGAGACCAATCTCGCCACATTGCATTGGAGAAGCCTGGTTGCTCGCCTGTTGCCTTTGGATTATGGTCCCATGTTAAAAGGCTTGATTTTCCCCTGCAAAGACATGAAAGCCGGGTCATTTGGTGCTTGCCCTGTTTGAGCGGTGATACTCCAGATAGCTATGCCATGGAGCCCATTCGTATAATGAAAGACTTTGGCTCCATGGCTATTGAACTGTATGTGTGTGCTCTGAGCGCCATTCAGTAATAATGTGCACTCAGATCTGAGCTATCTGGGGATATGTTGAATGTACCTGTTTTGTGAAATGGCTGCACAGTTATATGTTTTTATGTGTTTTATTGTCTTTTGCTGCTATGTGTTCAATGGAGTTTTTCCTCTGTCCTTGGAGATAATTGGATTACTTCCCAATTATCTCCAGGATAGAAGACTCTGTGGAACTGGTTTTGGGCAGAAAAGTCATGCTTCCTTTGGTCACAAAGGACTTCGATCGATCCATCTTGTGAACCACTGGACCAATTTGTATGATTTTGACATATGTTTGTATTTGGAGTATGCTGATTCTGAAAATGTATATGTGAATGTGATGCATACTTTTCAAGTTATGAATAATGTGGAAAAATTGTATTTCTCTGCTTGTTATAATTACATTACCCATTGTGTAAGGTAATTGTATCACAGGCAGAGGGGAGGATTTTGTGTGGGAGTGTCTGAGTGTATTGTATGTGTTTATTGGTTGTGTTCCAAAACCCTGTGGGTGGTACTAATGTGTAAGAATGTGTACATAAGAACAATAAACCCACAGCTCTGTCTGTTCACTGCTTGACCCTCAACACAGAGCTTTGTCTCGTTCTTGGGGGGATTTATTGTATGCTGTTCCAGTTTGACTGCTAGGAGTGTAAACCTATTCGTATGGTTTTTCCTATTCGGCTGTTTACGGCATTCATATGGTTTCCTGTTCGGTGGATTGGTGTTCTGCAGTAGCTGTGCCTGTGTCTCTGGAAGGGAAGATCTACTAAACGGCGGTTTAACCCTTTTATGCCTTTGGGTGCCGTTACATACTGGGTCCTTTTTTATTTTAGCTCTGTGAGTGCACCTGCTAGGGGACTCTTTACAACATAACCACATGTCTGTAGTAGTTACAGTGGAGCTCAAAAGTTTGCATACCCTTGGATAATTGGTAAAAATAAAAAAACATGAGTAAGCAGGCAAAACACATTTCTTTTATTTTTAATGGAATTCATATTCAACTGTAGGTTGTAACAGAATGATACTCAGAAAACAAAACATGGCAAAAAAAAAAAAAAGGAAATAAGGACCCCTGTTCAAAAGTCTGCATACCCTTTGTTCCTAATACTGTGTATTGTCCCCTTTTGCATCAATGGCAGCGTGCAGTTTTTTGTAATAGTGGTCTATGAGGCCCCTAATTTTTGCAGGTGGTATAGCTGCCCATTTGTCTTGGCAAAATGCCTCCAGGTCATGCAAAGTCTTTGGTCATCCTAAACCGCATGTTTGCGATCTCCCCCAGAGTGGCTCGATGATATTGGGGTCAGGAGACTGTGATGGCCACTCCAGAACCTTCACCTTTTTCTGCTGTAACCACTGGAGGGTCAACTTGGCCTTGTGCTTAGGGTCATTGTCATGCTGGAAAGTCAAAGAGCGTCCCATGCACAGTCTTCATGCAGAAAAATGCAAATTGTCTGCCAGTATTTTCTGATAACATGTTGCATTCATTTTGCCATGCTTCATAGTGGGGATGGTTTTTTTTTTACTCTAGGCATTGTTGACCCCTCTCCAAACTTAGCGCTTATGAGTATGACCATAAAGCTCTATTTTAGTCTCGTTTTACAGTGTGCCAGAAGCTGTGTGTCAAGGTTTTTGTCGGGCAAATTGTAACCAGGCATTTTTGTGGCATTGGTGCAGTAAAAGCTTTTTTTCTGGAAACTCAACCATGCAGCTCATTTTTATTCAAGTATCATCGTATTGTGCTCCTTGAAACAACCACACCGCCTCTTTCCAGAGCAGCCTGTATTTCTCCTAAGGTTACCTGTGGGTTTTTCTTTGTATCCTGAACAATTTTTTTGGCAGTTGTGGCTGAAATATTTCTTGGTCTACCTGACCTTGGCTTGGTATCAAGAGATCCCCGAAATTTCCACTTCTTAATAAGTGATTGAACAGTATTGATTGTCATTTTCAAGGCTTTGGATATCTTTTTATATCCTTTTCCATCTTTATAACATTCCATTACCTTGTTACTCTGGTCTTTTGACAGTTCTTTTCTGCTCCCTATGGCTCAGTATCTAGCCTGCTCAGTGCATGCACGTGAGAGCTAACAAACTTATTGACTAATTGCAATTGGGATATGATAGAAACATTTTAATAATAAAGTGGTCGCCAGATGAACGGTCATATTCTGCGGACTGTGTAGCAGGCTGCAGAGGTAGAAGAGTAGGCTGGGTGGCTTCTTCTTGTGCCCCTCCGAAGTGGCAGAGTGGTGTCTGCATTGGTAGAGGTCTGTTGCATGGTTGCGCCTGCTGTTTGCCACTCTGCCACGCTGTCTGCATCTCCTCTTTGTACGGTCAGGACAATGTGGGCTCCCCTTCCTCTGCTCCGCTGTAAGTGAAGGACCTTGGGGAGGCAGACAGCCGTCTGCTTTTCTCAGAATGCATCAAAAATCCTGGTGAGTCAATCCAGCACGTCCCACGCTACTCAAGTCAGAAGAGCCCGCAACAACTACCATGTTGATTGCCACACGGTGTCGGGTATGTGTTAGTGCTGCACGCAGACCGCTTTCAAGGGGACCTCCAAGGTGTGGAACCAGGATTATCCCTGCCAGTCCAAAGTGGGGGGGAGGGGGGTGAGGATGGGTCACTTGGTGGTTGAACTCTTGGCCTAGGCTGCTCCAGATAGATCAGCCGCCTCTCCTTTCCTCGATGCACACTAGGCTGCAAGATGCTCAGAGCCCCCTTCAGGACCGTGCCGACTACGGACACTGCTCGTTGCTGACAGGCGAGTCAAACCCCAGCTAGGGTAGCTTTTGTATTTTTTTTTTTTGTTTGCTTTAGGGTCCAGTAGTGACCCAGAGAGTCTTTGTTTTGCCTGTATTGGCCCAGAGCTCACGAAGCACACGTCCTGCAGGCATGGCAGTCAGGCCCCGTCCCCCTTATTTTTAATTTATATTTCTTTTAAACCGAGTACTCTCAACATGTAAAAAAAGCATTTTCTGGACCATTTTACCATTGGTCTTGTACAAGTACCCCACGCTCTACATTTTTGATTTTCAAAGACTAGGGGGAAAGCAATAAAAGTGAATTTTTACAGTTTTTCTGTAAATTGTGAATTGTAGAGAATTAACCAATACATTACCAATTTTATGGCACAGATGGAGAAACATTTTGCAACTTGACTATTTTTGCCTAAAATTAGCTTTTTGCTGGTCAATTCACTGTTTAGTGAATAACACTTATGAAATAATCTTTAAAATAAATGCGCAAACACACTTTTAAAGCACAGCAAAGAAAACAGCCCTTTTTCACTTTTCCTTTTAAATACCTGCATTGACCTGAATCATGAAACGTAAACGAGATGCCTTAAAGGCAATTCATTTCTCTGATGTGGGATGTTATTTAGCCAGTTCAAACTACACAGAAAATTAATTAGCCAGGAATGAATCTTGATTCTGCAGCTAAACTTTTTGATACAATAAATATATATCTGTATCCAGTATGGTACATAAATATTGGAATATTAAAATACTGTAAAGCAAGCATCTTGCTCCACGTATAGCTATGATCACTAATCTTGGCCTTTGATGTCTTCAGAAGACAGATTAAAGGGAATGCACATGGTCACATGGTGCCAAAGCCAACTGTAAACTCGTGGGAGCACTAATGAATGCAAATACCAAAGACATACTGGAATTGTGACGGCTGCTCACAGACTGTACATTTACACAGAGACACTGCATACAAACACACAAGTTACTGCTTAGGTGTGTCTTAATACACCAACACAGTAAGAACAGGGTTATTTAATAAACATTACATTTTAGTGAATTATCTTAATGGCAACATTTGGGCTAAAATAGCAAAGCTGTGATTAGAGCTGACGTGGGGGGTGGTGTGTGTGTGTGTGTGTGTGTGTGTGTGTGTATGTGTATATATATGTATGTGTATGTATATATGCAGGGCCGGATTAAGAGCCCAGTGGGCCTGGTGCTGACAATTATGAGGGGCCTAATTACAGAATCTTATCGACCAAAAACACTGAAACAGACATACCTCTCAAGCATTATGTATCTGGTGGAGATTTTGCCCGAGGAAAAATCATAGGATGCAGCTAAAAAAAAAACTCAGATTCTCTTAAAATGTGCTAATCTCTCTCTAAATTATGCTTTCATCTTTCAAGTAAATCCATACTCCCTAACAGCAGTGTCCAATGAAGCAGTAAGTCAATGGGCGGTGTAAAAGGGTGGGCCAGTGACGCGGATCATGTAACCAGAACTTCCGAAAGGGCCGGACATGCCCAAAAAGGAGGCGTGTCTGCCCAAAGAATTGGAAGGCTAGTCTTGCATGAATGCATATCAGGCTGCCTGCCAATCATGCATGCTGGCCAACAGCTTCCTGAGCTTGGCATAAATGCATCTAATGATGCGCTAGCTCTATGCTTTCTAAGGACTGTCCCCTAGTACTCGCAGGTCCACTTCTATCCTAACCTACTTACTAGAAGGAAGAAGCTTCTGGTATACAGTCTGAGACAGAGAAAAGGTGGATGTAGTGAGTGTAGAAGAAAGGGAACATGGCACAGTGTTGGAGAGACCAAAGTCGGCATTACCTTAAAGGACCACTATAGTGCCAGGAAAACATACTCGTTTTCCTGGCACTATAGTGCCCTGAGGGTCCCCCTCCCACCCGGCTCTGGGGAGAGGAAAGGGGTTAAAACTTACCATTCTCCAGCGCCGGGTGGGGAGCTCTCCTCCTCCTCACTTTCGGCTGAATGCGCACGCGCGGCAAGAGCTGCGCGCGCATTCAGCCGGTCTCATAGGAAAGCATTTACAATGCTTTCTTATGAATGCTTGCGTGTTCTCACTGTGATTTTCACAGTGAGAATCACGCAAGCGCCTCTAGCGGCTGTCAATGAGACAGCCACTAGAGGATTTGAGGACTGGATTAACCCATTTATAAACATAGCAGTTTCTCTGAAACTGCTATGTTTATAAAAAAAATGGGTTAACCCTAGCTGGACCTGGCACCCAGACCACTTCATTAAGCTGAAGTGGTCTGGGTGCCTAGAGTGGTCCTTTAACTAATTTCATTTCAGCTAGTCCACACAAGTTTTGTTCCTCTATATCCCTCTTAAGTTTCCATACTTAAGCAAGAGTATGTGAAGAGTAATTAGGGTTGCCACCTTTCTTGGAAAAAATTTACAGGCCTTACTAATTTGCATAACTAATTATGTATGCGTGACATCACATGATGTAAATCACAAGGAGTGACAGAGAAAATTCTGTGAAATTACCCAAAAACTACTTAGTTTGATTCTGCTATATAGATGGATTGCTCCCAGTGTCCCCATGTCGCCCAGTGTCCCCATGTCGTCCAGTGTCCCCTAGTGTATGTGTCCCCATGTCTCCCAGTGTTCCCATGTCATGAGGGGACACTGTGAGACACGGGGACACTGAGACTATGCATCACAATGTCTCTGTGTCCCCATGTCTCCCAGGGACACTGAGAGACATGGGGACACTGGGAGACATGGGGACACAGACACTGGGAGACATGGGGACACAGACACTGGGAGACATGGGGACACAGACACTGGGAGACATGGGGACACTGAGACACTAGGGATACTAGGGGCACAGACACTAGGCACACTGGGAGACATGGACATACAGACACTAGGCACACTGGGAGACATGGGAACACTGATAATCTAGGGACACTGGGAGACATGGGGACACTGAGACACCAGGGACACTGGCTTGGAGACATGGGGACAATGAGACATTTGGGGACATTTTGTTCCTAGTGTCTGTGTCTCCATGTCTCCCGGTATCTCAGTCCCCATGTGTGTCTGTTTCCCCATGTCTCAGTGTCCCCATGTGTGTCTTTGTCCCCATGTCCTCTAGTGTCTCAGTGTCCCCTAGTGTTTCAGTGTCCCCATGTGTGTGTTTGTGTGTGTGCGTCCTTGTCTCAATGTCCCCATGTGTGTCTGTGTCCCCATGTCTCTAAGTGCCCCCAAGTGTCTCAGCATCCCCAGAGTTCTCAATGTGTCCCCATGTCTCATAGTGTCCCCTAGTGTCTTAGTGTCCCCATGTCTCCCTGCAGCCTTTATCCCATCCCTCACATCTCTGAGCTGTAGGCTGTCTCTGCAGGCTGGGAGCTGCTGTCTGGACTCTTTGTGCTGTGTAGCTGCTCCCCCGCGGATCAGTGAGTAGAGCAATGCAGGTATATGCTGTAACTTCCTATCCCTGCCTCTCTCCACACACACAGCGACCCCTACTGTACGGTAATGGTATTGCAGAATAATCTCTGTTTATACTGAGAAAAATACCGGCATTTGTATTGCCAGTATTACAGGAATATCGGCACCGGCTAGGCAGCCTCAAATAAATAAATACCGGCCAGATGAACAACCCTAAGAGTAGTGTGTAAAAAAAAAAGTTGCAATTTTTTTTTTAATTCAATGGGCCTATTCCATGAGCCTGGAGCTGCAGCTCCATCAGCCCCTATGTTAATCCGGCCCTGGTATATATGTATATGTGTGTGTGTATGTATATGTATGTATGTATGTGTGTGTGTATATATATATATATATATATATATATATATATATATATATATATATATATATATATATATATAATTTCCCAAGTAAGTGGATTAATCTCATAAGAGCAAGCATTTGGCTGCTACTAGGATAGGACCTGCCGAATATGGGGTACTTTGACGTAGTTGGCAGGCTTATGCAATGTATGATCATATAATGTAACTAAACCCCCATCATTTTTTGCCTAGGTGAGGTGTTTTTAAATAAAACTATTACAATCTCTAAGATTTGAAATCATTGTTTAGTGAATAAGCGATTATATATAATATATATATAATTTATTTTTTCTTGAAAGCTGCTATTTTGACCTACATTTTGACATTCAGATATAATTTGCTAAGATTCACTATTTCATGAATTACCCTCTGAGTTTTATTGCATTGCAGATTGATTGAATACTTCTAGTTTAAAGGGACCCCATAGGCACCCAGACCACTTCAGCTCATGTCATTTGGTGCTATATAAATAATATAACAAGTGTTACATTACAGTGGCTTCAGAACTATTCAAATTAAGCCACACATCCTTTCCCACCAGAGCAACACTCAGCTGCAGTGCTTCTGGTGATTAGAGTCCTTTTTATTTTATAAACCAATAATATATCATCCTTGCAACACAAAAAGAGACATAGATTTTTTTCTTTTATTTACTTTTTTTTTTTTTTATTATTTGCATTGGGTGTGCACCATGCTGCCAAATACAACAAACAAAACAAGAAATAAACAAATTCAATAAATTCAACAATAATTTAGAGATTCCTATTAAGTTATGTTTTTCTTATTAATAGGGTAAGTTAAATTAAAGAGTTTTAATAGTATTTAACAAAAACACAAGAAAGGCCTTTGCCAAAATAAAAGAGAATTAAAGAGGCACTAATGCTGTGAGATATGAGTTTGTGTGCACCAGAAACCGGTTCTAGTTATATTTTCGAAATGAAACAAGATTGTATAATACTCTACTCCACATCCAATGTTAAGATTCACTTTTTGAGAGCTGGGGATATGGAGTTCTGGGATTCGATAAAGGGCTTGATTTGAACATGCCAACAGGCTAGTCGTACAGAATGTCAGAACTTTATAAATAGGCAAAACAGAAATCGCACTAAGGGCACTTTACAGACAGGCTAGGAAGCTCCACATAAAGTAACGCTCCTAAAACCAGAATCTATTCATCAAAATGAGAGCAACCTGACTGGCTAAGCCTCTTTCAGGCGGAGCTCACTGCAGAAGCAAAAGAGCTTGGGCATTTGCAGCAAATGCATGAACGTTAAAAGCATAGTTTTTTTTTTGTTTTTTTAATTTGTATTTATCAATGTCTTCATTTTTCTAATAGATGTAAAATAATGATCATCTCCCAGCCTGAAGTGTATTGTTGTCTCTGCTGGCAAAAACATTTTTTTTTAAGTGCGGAGAAGTACATTTAAGAAGAAAAATATTTTTAAAATGGGAGAAAAGGCAAGGAAAAGGCGATCTTTGGAATCCTTGATCACACATTTCACTGTTTAAATGTAAAAGTAATAATTAAAAAGATAAATATTAACGAAATGCCCAGGTGCCTCCAGCATTATGCATTTGTGCATTTTAGATTATTTAAAACTACTTTTGTTAATGTGTGTATCTTTATTTTATTACGCTCATGTCGGACTGTTACAGAAAAATTTGCCATGGAAGTCTGGTCAATGTGCTGAAGATTGTTTTTAATATGAAATCGGTACATGAACAATGAATGTCTCCTAATGTCTCTGTCTCCTAATGTCTCCTAAAATGAAGCAGTTTCTTAATTTGTCAGAGATTCTGAGTTAATTTTAACTACATTAAAGGGACATTCCATTGCCAAAGTACTAAAAACACTGTTTAGTAGACCTACCCTTAATTATTAGAAAAAATAAAAAACACACTATGTAAATGGGTATTCATTAAGCAAGATATTTTCCAAAGTGTGAATTTGACATTTTAGGTCAAAGTAACAAGCTGAAAAAATGTCTCCTATTTGGCTGTTTTTTGGTTAATATGAAATAAAGAAATTCTGTTAAAGTTGATAATGCACACTTTGGTCAATAACGTTCTATATCTTGACCATACAGCTTACTCTGCAGTTAGTGGTCCATTTGTTTTGTGGTGGGTAACAAATTCTGTCACGGCTTAGTCACTAATATGTAAATTGTTAGGAATTGAAATTAACCTAAAATAGGCAAATTTCGAAATCCCTATATAAGCATTTTTTTTTTATCTTCCAATTTGGTTAATTCGACCTAAAATTTAAAATTCACTTTGAATTCTTGAATAGTCACCTTGTGTCTAATATATTGAGCTGAGCGCAGGGAAAAGAAAGCAATATCTATAATGTATTCAGTTCTTTTAATGCCAGAGTATCAATACTAAAATAAAGGCTAGTATAATTTCCCGAATAGTAAGACGGAGAAACAACTTACAAAGTTGAACAATTATTTGTCTAAAAGACACCCCCATATATTCGATTCACCTTCACACACAGCGATTTATGCCCGTGTGTGAAAATACTTTGGAAAAAACGTACTTTTAAATGTGATAAGAATTCCAAAAAACCTAAACATTCTATTACGATCTTATATTTTATTATCGATCAAACTGTATGGACATCATGAGATCCTGACTGCAATACTGTGAGGTTTATTAGCACTTTTTTTTTTTTTCTGGAGTGGAAAAATGTAGTGGTGGTGGTGAAATCACATTTTCTAGGTTAATGACAATCTGATTAAATAATGGTTTTCAAGAAAGATTTTAGCAAAATAACAAGTGATGGTAAACCGTGGCACCCAAGTTGGTTTTAGCTATATTTCACATGATTCTTCCACAGCCTTAAAACTGGCTTAATGTATTTCACAAACCAGAGGCATGCCAGGGTTTGCCACAAGCGGTATAGTTATTAGAAGGTTAATAAGATGTATATTTAAATTAAGTCAAGAAATAAATTATTTAAAATTCTGCAAAGATTGTGCAAGAGGTTTTTAAAGGGAACGCAAAATGGTTCTGTGTGAAAGATGATCTGATGAATATAAAGATATGAACATAAATATCAAAGCTATTTTAAATTATTTTAAGGGACTCGGACAAAAGTAGTATCTTTTTGAATAATTACATGCAAATTACTTTTTTTTTTTTTTCCCCCTTCTTCTTCATGATTCTCTAATTCACAAGACCTTTTTTGTTTTGTAAGCACTTGCCAGCTGGTGCTTTCTATTTTTCAAAACGTAAATTTTCCGTGCACAAGAGGATCATGGGGGAAAATGTAAATTGCTAGTTTTTCATGAATTGCCCTGTCTGTGCCTTTGACAACTTAATGCTGAAAAATTTTATAACATAAAACAAAAACAACAAAACTTACTAATCCATGGGATAATTACATTTTATGTGTTGGGTTTTCTATTTTTTTTTTTTTGCCTTAGTCTGATGTCCCTTGGAACAGGGACACAGTTCTGAGATTTTTAATCGCCATAGTGTATTTCAATAAAAACTGTTAAATTAAATATTATTAGGACTAGATCTCTAAGAAATCTTTCTATTCATTTTTTTTTTTTTTTTTAAATGACATGTATATTTTACCTGCAAACTATACAGGAGTACTAAGCATGGGTTGCAGATGTGAAGATAACAGGCCACGTTTCTAGATAATTTCGGAGCTCGGTTTGGTTGAGAATGAGTGTTTGCTGAAAAACTGTGGAAATCCTACAGGTTGACCATTACGGGGTCATTCTGAATGGTAGAAAAAGAAAAAAGCTATGAAATCCTAATATACTTTGCCGTGTTGACCACGGTGGGAAACAGCTGATTGTCCTGAAGTCCCTAGAAGATGTTAAGTTGAAGATCACACATCTTCAAATACACCCAGTGGATATGAGCCATGTAAATTAAAGAGTCAAGGTGTATTCACATAGTGCTTGTTTGTGACCTCACATACTGGATTGGATTTCATCATGATGACCGCTTACACACACAAAAAAAGCTGGCTTATAAAAGTACTGTGTCCAAAGATATGATGTATCATTCTTACAATTGCATCACAGAAGTGATCTATTTAAATGAAGAGTGCTTTAAAGGTACAAAAATTCCTTCACACATGCTGGTAAAGCTGAAATTGCAGTCATGAGTGTCTGCCATAATCAAGCGTTTGGCTGCTTAACAAGAGAAGGCAATGGCAGGCAAAGAGTCTCTTATCGTCAAAGGTTCAGCTCTGCAACAAATACATTGTGCTGAATGTTGTCAGTTAATAGAAGCTTATGAGAACATCTAACAATGTAAGATTCTTGTGTGCTCTTCATGGAGCAACCTGTGAATTTGGATTTCAAAGACAAAGACACAAGCCGTTTTTGGTCCACCAAGCAGAATAAAATCCCCAGTGATAATCAAGTGCTGGTTGTGGTCAGCTGGTTCAACTCCAAAATAGCTGTTAAGTATGGCCCCAGAGTTGTCGAACAATAAACCCCACAGCCTTTACTTCCTGTATTTGTAGAATGGTCATGGTTTGTCCTACGACTTGAAGGCAAGCTTAATGCTAGCACTGGAGTATCCTTCATCGCTGCCCAAACTCTGCATGCTACTATGGTCATCTAAGTCGCTGATACTGGTACTGCTGTTGCTGTCCACTTCCAATGTGGAGAATTCTGTGCTTTCAACGTCCACCTCAATCTCCTCTGTAGGACAAACGTAAGTTAAGAATCCAGAATGACAATCACAAACCCACCCAAAAGCGTGCCCATAAAAACATAATCTTTATCATGTTGAAGGATATAGCAAATTAAAGGAAAAACTGTAGGCTAGAAATACAAAATTGTACTCGTAACCTATACTGCCCCTCTTGCTCGTGCCTCACCCAGCGCTGAAAGGTTTAAAAAACATTTTGAAACTTACCTGAATTCAGTGCCCATGTCAATCTCTGCCTTCGATGTCGGGGACCTAATACCCATGCGCAGCGAGATTGCATTAGGACAACTCCATAGCAAAGTATTGTTTCAATGCTTTCCTATGGAGATTTAGCTGCCACTGGATGTCCTCATGCATAGTGTGAGGACGTCCACCATTGGTTATGCAACCAAAAGTCGCCTAACCACCCGGAAGCGCCTCTAGTGGCTGTCTGGTAGACCGCAACTAGAGGTGGAGTTAACCCTGCAAGGTAATTATTACAGTATCTCAATAGGTGCAATAATTACCATTGCACGGTTAAACGGACAGAGATAATGCACTAAGACCTCTTTAAAGAGCTGAAGTGGTCTGGGTGCCTATAGTGTCCTCTTTTCTAAAGGGATTTATCCTGATCAAAACCTAGAAAAATAAAAACACTTTAACTTGAATCCTTATCTCGGGCAGCTGTGTGATTAACCCAGACACTATAAAATGTAACTCTGTTTCTTATGCTGGCAGACATTACCCAACATGTTCAATCACTGGTACATACCTCGTTCTGAGTCAGATCGGTCAGAGGAATGGTTTGACCCAATACTATCTACTCGTGTTCTCTCTGATTCCGGGCACCCTTGGAGCTGCTCGAGCCTTCTCTTTAGGAACCTCTGTTCTCTTTCTAGCATATCAAGCTGGTGTTGTCCCCTTCGCGACGAGTCTTCAAGTTTCTGTCATAGAATAATTACATTTTAACAAAGATTTCCAGCAAAAGTCTCTTCTATACATTAACACTCTTGGATGGAGACTTGCAATGAATTAGTGCAAGATTTTTGTAACTGACTAGCTTTTTTTTTTTCTTCCTTCAAATGCTAGTTGTTTTAGAAAGTATAAGAGCCATCTGCATTTTAATGTTTGGAGAGTAAAGAGGTCTGGCCATCCAGATGTTTTTAGTTAAGGGCACAGCTTGTCAAATGTTGACTCTTCTAGAAAGGCTGAACTTTGGCAGAAGATGTTAGTGCCTGGATACGGGGACCAAATGGTGAAGAGTCAGGCTGTTACCTTGATGTGCATCTTTGCCTTGTTAAGAAGTCCTAAGGTAGTGTGGCGTGTGCTGTCAGATTCCAAAGGTATAAGGTCTTTTAAACGTTCCAAGCAAAGTCGAAGGTGAGCTCTCCTGAAAAATAAACAGTGACAAAAATTCAAAAAGACTGTAAGAGCAATCACTAAACCAAGCACAAAGAAATTAAAACTGGCAAATTTGCATGTAATTACATTTATTTTCTTAGTATTTATATGCTGCCAACATATTTAAAATTATTGAAAGCCCTGCGTAACCCCTTTAAGGACACAACTTCTGGAATAAAGGGAATTGTGACAGAATATTTCCTTCACGTGTCCTTCAGGGGTTATACAATATTACAAACTAAGGAAGGCAGATGTATTTCCTTAGGTGTCTTGGCCAGTCTGAACCAGGACTTAAACCTGCCGTATTACATTACGTTACCACTGCTCAAACTACCCATATTACATTAAAAGGAAAGTTGCAATTCAGCCTGGTGATGAGTACCGGTGTTTAACAGATTACAATTGTTAAAAAGCGGTTTAGTGTGCTTACATTAACCTGTCCTTATCAAACCAAAGAGAAACACAGAAGAACCTGTTGACCTCTGGCCTTGATTGGACTGGAAACAAGAGGAAAATGGATTGACTGTCTGCGTGGGGACCCTTTGCTGCACCTATACTGGCTGGGTTTAGGATGGAATTCATGCCGATGGCACAGGCGAATGCTTTGGTACCTATGTCACAGAATACAGGAAACCTGAGTAACATATGATATGTTACTAAGACTCCATATAATACCACTAGCTGTTCAAAAAACAAATTTGGTTGACGGATTCTATTTTTAAAAATTTTATTTTTATTTTTTTAATGCTTTCTGTTCTAGTCATCACTGTAGCTAGCTGGAATATACAGATAAAAAGCCAGTATAAAGTGGTTCAGGGCCTGAGCACTGCCCTAGAACGACCTTATCTCTGCAGAACACACTTGGTGTAATGCCCATTCATCGCCTCAGGGTTTTTTATCCTCCCTCTTGTAAAAAATACTTTTGCTGCTAAATCCCCAGCTATCTTTCTACTGTGAATAGTGATGTCCCAGACCCTCCCACCTCCTGGACAGCATCCATTGTGAAGCTGCATTCTTAGTGAGCTGTCCAGGAGGTGGGAGGGTGGGTCTGCTGCTGATTGGCTGGAATGTGTCTGCTGACTGAGGTACAGGGTCAAAGTTTACTCAATGATGAGTCCGTGGCGAACCGTTCGGGACATCACTAACTGTGAATACTAAAAAAAAAAAATCTGTTCAAAGAAATTCATAATAATGGAAAAACAAACCCACATTGATTATCGGTATGTTAATCTAACAGTGAGACAAGCAAGTGTTAACCTACTATAATGCATTTCATGACACAGTCATAATATACAATTAATACCTATGCTGTAGGAATCCTAGCACACTGGTAAAAAAAAATACCCATTTAACAGACTGGTAGTTAATAATAGATTCCTGTATAAAAATAACTGATTTTAGCTGCCAGCAGTATAGCTTTGAGCATTGCTCCCTTATTCTTGGAGCCGGTCCAGCACTAATTTGAAAATAAAATCTGCTATACCCTTGTCAATTCTCCACTATTCCTAATTTACTGTATAACCCCTCTGTAAAATTAATCCTGCTCTAACTTGTACAGGTAATACTCTTGCATTTGTTTTGCTATATTTTTATATCTGGCCTTCACAGTTATTAGGACTCTATCCATACCACCTAATGTAGAATATGCAACCGTGTCTGACCCACAGAACTTGCAATCATAGTATTATTAATATACCAAAACAGTGCCACTCAATATACTCTGTCAAACAAGCCTAAAAACAAGTGTGGTTATAAATGGTACATTAAAAAAAGGAAAGGGAATTGGGGGGCATGCATTTCTCAGCAGTGGTGCTGCCGTACAGACCAAAATAAACACAAAATACAGATTAGGCGATAGCGCACACAAATAGTTTTTTACGTTTTACAAGCCTACTTAAAATCGTCTATCTTGGCAAACAAATATGGGGATTCAGTTTGGCCATATTGTCTGAAAGGGACACTAGAGGGACTTCCGTGTCAATGGGCGACTTTTGGACATCCTCACGTTATGCATGGGGACATCCAGCCTCACCTGAAACCCCGTGGGAAAGTATTGTATAATGCTTTCCTATGGGGAAGTACTAATGCAAGTGCACCCATTGAAGCAGAGCCAGCGTCGAGGGACATCTGCATTGGACTCGGGTAAGTGTCCAATGCGGGGGCTGTGAGGTGGGGGGGGGGGCACTGTAGGGAACTCTAATGTCCACTACTACGCCACAGTACCCCAATATCGATGGGCCCTACACTAATTTCAATATGTGAGACAACTACTAAAATAGTGACAGTGCTTTGTGAATATAAATTAAAGTACATTAAATCAACCCATTGTAAGTGCATTGTTAATATATAGTTACTCAGAATGTGAGCAAAATAAATTAAAAAAACGAAAGTACCATAACTAAACCAAAGTGACAGTTTGTAAGTATATATTAACAATGTATCGTGACAAATCTGCTTAAAAAAAACAAAACATCTGAATCCCCATACAATATTTGTTTGCAGATCGGTAATTATAAATAGCCTTGTAAAATTAAAAACTGCATTTGTGTGTGTGTGTGTGTGTGTATACATACACTGATACACTGTAATCTGTATTTTGTATAAATGGTACAGACACGCACACAAAACAAGTGTGACCTAACTTGCTTCTCTTCCCAACTTTTTTTGCTGTGTTTTTTTTTGTTTTTGTTTTTTTTAATCTAACCACATATTTCTATTTTAACTTGGATCACACAAAACCGCAGAGCGTGGGTTGGGGGTGAGACTGACAAGGCTTTTGCTGAACATAGGAGCATGTGATTTCACAGCAAGTCTAAAAAGAGACTGTCGACAAAGTGAGCAAGGATTCTGGATAAAATGCTCACAATGACGTGACAGCAGCCTAGTCTGTTCTCCAAATTGTCCTTAGTCTACCTTGGTAACTCTGAGTGACCCCTAGAATACAAGTGATAAAAACAAAATAACTTGCAGTTATTTTGCAACGCTTACTGAAATTTATGGATTGTTAAATGCTGACTTTCAGATGTAACACCTCGCATGACTCCGCTGCCTTAATCACATCTATATTAAATGGAGTGTCCTGGAGTCAGCAATAATGTTACTTTGTATAGGATCTATTTTCTGATCTAAGACTAGTTGAGAGAGTGTGTGTGTGTGTGTGTGTTTCTAATCTTGCATCCTTCCCTCCATATCAGTTAGCAATATTTACACACTTTTTCATTTTTACACATTATAAGGACCGTTTGAGTGTTGACCAATTCAGTGTATATCAACTACAGGCTTAGAGCGATTTATCAATATGTCCAGAGTTACTTTAATGGTACCACATAGTATCACCATTTTGCCTTGAGCTCTAGAAGAATTCTTCAAAATCAGGAATTCAACAAAGTTCATAAGATGTTAATTTGGTATTAAGGGGCCTAATGCATGGCTCTACCATCGCCACTGACACTAGGCCGGCTAGGTTCATAGATTTGGTTAATTCAAGCAAAATTCTGACTCCTCTGTATACAGGTATGAAATAAAATTTGTCAGTAAAATTCTTTATTTTTGAATTACATTATTATTGTTTACTAACCCCTTAACGACAAGTGACGGACAAGGTCCGTCATTCAGGGGATTGCCATAACGACGAGTGACGGACTTTGTCCGTCACCTGTTAAAATTAACCCCGGATCGCCACTATCGCGCCGATCGCGGGGTTAATGGTGCTCCGGTCTGCCTCCTGGTTCTGTGTGAAGTGCAGGGAGCCGGAACAGTGCTGATCCTGTTTATAAAAAATAAAAATAAGGTTTATTTAAAATCCCATCCCCCCTTTACTACAGTGCTCAACTGGCAGGAATTACATTTTACTGTCATCTAATTTTTATTTATTTTTAACCCCTGAGTGTTAATTCTTTTAGTGGGGAATTGGGGGATTTGGTGTAAGGCTAACTAGGGGTTAATGTTAAGTTTTAAAATAAACTTTTAAAAGTTAAAAATTAAGCTAAAAAAAACAAGTTGTAATAACGTTTAAGTAAAAAATAAAAAAACACCCCCTTTACCCAGTCCCCCCCAAAAAAAACCTTCCCTGCCAGTCGATCACTGCCTACAGTGATCAAAATACAGATCACAGTATTATACTGTGATCTAATTTTTATTTTTTTATTTTTTTTTTTAAACCCGTGAGGATTAACTTTTTTTTATTAAATATTTTATAATTATATATTTTGCTAGCTGGGGTGGGTGGGAGTTATGGTAAAATGGGGAATTTACTGTTAGTGCTGCTTACTGCTAGTTAGGGGTTAACGGTAAAAAAAAAAAAAAAAAACTTTGAAAAATTTTAAATCTGTAAAATAGTTTTAAGAAAGTTTAGGAAAGTTTAAAAAAAATTAATAAGCAAAACAAAAGTTTAAAAACTAGTTTTTAAAAGTAAAAAAGTTTCAAAAAGTAAATAAATACATTTAAAAACGCTCATTACCACTACACCTGGAACACACTAGAGATAAAATAATCCCACGCTAAGGTTCAAAATATGCCTTTTGAATTACCCCAGGGTGTATTATTTAATAAAAAGTTTGTGTTTGTGAGGAAGTTTCAATAACCAACCATCTAAACTACTCCAAATTGGAACATGGACACAGCGTAAAACTTCAAAGTTAGAAAAAAACTGAATGGCTGCATCTCAAATGCGCCCCTTCAACATCCACATATACCTGGCAAAGGTACATATGGTGGTATTGCTGTACTCAGACGACATAGCTGAGCAACATATGAAGTATTATACAGTAGTGATGTCCCGAACTGTTCGCCGTGGACTCATCATTGAGTAAACTTTGACCCTGTACCTCACAGTCAGCAGACACATTCCAGCCAATCAGCAGCAGACCCTCCCTTCCAGACCCTCCCACCTCCTGGACAGCTCACTAAGAATGCAGCTTCACAATGAATGTAAAATGGATGCTGTCCAGGAGGTGGCAGGGTCTGGGAGGGAGGGTCTGCTGCTGATTGGCTGGAATGTGTCTGCTGACTGTGAGGTACAGCGTCAAAGTTTACTCAATGATGAGTCAGCGGCGAACCGTTCGCAAACCGTTAGGCGAACAGTTCGGGACATCACTATTATACAGTCGTAGCACACATAAGGTTTGCAAAATATAATGTGCAAACTCACTTTGTGTGTCAAAAAGGCAGAAAAAACACTTACCACTACACTTGGTACAAGCTAGCGGAAAAATGATCCCACGCTAAGGTTCAAAATATGCCTTTTGAAATACCCTGGGGTGTCTACTTTAAGAAATGGTAGGCCTTTGTGGGTTAGGTTAAATTTAAACCCTGCTAAGATGCTTGGAAATTGCACATAGGCCCAGCGTCAAAATTCAAAGTTCGGTAAAAACGGATTTGGCTTGGTCTCCTATATGGCACTGTAGCTTCACAAAATAGTGCCAAAGACATTCATTGGGGGTGTCATTTTACTGAGAAGACTTAGCCGAGCATAATTTGGGGGGTTTGTAATTAGTGGCACATGTGAAATATACAAAATGCCCAGCAAAAATGCAATCCATATGTAAAAAACGCACAAAATTATTTTTTATCACATACTTTAGCAAATATTGGTGAAAAATAGGGGCATGTTAAGGCACAATATGCACCTTATGAGATACCCCGGAGTGTCTACTTTTACAAATGGTAGGCCTTTGTGGGCTTTTTTGAACAGTCAAACTGTTATAATACCCCAAATGGAAGCATAGGCTCATTAAATCCATCTCTCAAAATTCTACTGTGAATACTGAAATAGTACCAAAGACATACAATAGGGGTGTCATTTTACTCAGCAGATGTAACTGAACACAAAATAAAACTTTGTACAGGAATAGCAAACACCAACTTTACAAAATACACATGAGAATTTCTGTGTTATAAGTTTGTGTGCCAAAAACAAAAAAACCCCCACAATTTTACTCCAATATTTAGCAGAGGTTGGCGGTGAAATGGCTTCGTAGAAAGTGTCAAAACAACCTTAGGTAAATAGCCCGTGATGTCTACTTTATATAAATATATACGTTTGTGTGGCAATTTTTTCTTTTATGGCTATTAAGCTTACAAGACAAACATACCAAATTCTAAAATCGCTCCACATTAAAAGTTTATTTTACTGCTTGTGCTTTGTGACCTGTAACTACCAAAAAAAACTTAAAATCCCAGACACATTATACATTCTGTAAATCAGAACAACTAAATGAATTTATTTTTAATTACTTTCCTTAACCTGCACTAATTATGCACACATTATTATTGCAAAAACTGTAAAAAAAAAAAGAATTTTTCTGTATTTTTTTTATAAGTGTGTGTGTGTGTGTGTGTGTGTGTGTGTATGTATGTGTGTGTATGTGTGTATATATATATATATATATATATATATATATATATATATGTGTCTTACATCAAATTAAAGCCCTTTCTGTCCTTTAAAAAACGATATATAATGTGTGTCGGTGCAATAAATTAGTAAAATGCAAATTGCAGTTGAACGCAAACAGCAAAAAATGAAAAAAATGCTGTTGTCATTAAGTGAAAGACAAGCTTCTGAAGCTCTGTCCTTAAGGGGTTAACAAAGGTTTGTAACTGGGCTTGTGCACAAGCCTATATGTTTGAAAACATAATATAGCGATGATACAAGGCGAGATTACATGCAAGTCAAAGCGGTAGTTGAGTTAACCTGATGAACTTGTCTCTTAAGGAGGTCTAGTAATTCTAGTCAACATCCTAATTGTGTCATTGGATTTTATGTTAAGCATTAACATGGTCGCAAATGGTGGGATCGGTATATGTGCAGGGTTGCTACCGGGGTCAGTGGGCACTAGGGCATTTGTGCTATTTCCTTTATCGTCCCACTACTTCTGTTGTCAAATTCCTTCTAGCCATCTTCCCCTGCCCCAATACTCGCTGTCATATGGTGCGACCTTCAATACTAAATGAGGGCGTGTGTGAGCGTATGTGTGCATTCTATGCTTATGGATGCTGGATTTGTATATATCAGGCCCTCTGTGAGAGAGAGGGCCTAAAGGAAAGTAAGAGAGATAGATAGAAAGCAGTAAGAGAAAGGGGGAAAAGTGAGGGGGGAAGGGACAAGCCCAGCCCTGGGAGGGCGGGGGAAGGGAGAGGGCCAGGATAGCCAAGGGTGACTGAGAGCAAATGGGGGGCGGGCGGTACAGGGCAGGGGGCAAGCGGGAGGGCAAACACGCCAGATGCGCCCCGGTAATCTCTCTAATCAGCCAGGTGGCTCTCTCTCCACAGTCCCCAAGTCCTCTCGAACTTCCTATGTGTACCCCACACCCTAGCCATGATGTCGTCCATGAGGCAGCTGTCCTTTATCTTCCCAATTACTATTGACCTGTTTTTTTTAAGCCAATATTGTGCGAGCGGCTAATGTGATTTTTTTTTTTTTAATTTATTTATTTTTTTATTTTTTTATTTTATTTTTTATTTTTTTTGGAGTAGTCTTTGGTCCTGTCTCGGCCATTCGTCTATTCACCTACCCCCTTTTCTGTTCAGTTTTGTTGATCATGTGTCCACTGCTGACAGTCCCATTCATAGCTTACAGATAGTTCTCTTAGATCAGGGATTTATAAACTAAATCCGTGTGTGTGTGTGTGTGTGTGTGAACCAATCTGAGCCACTTTTACTATGGTATTACGGGTCATTAAGGAACAAACACTTTGTGAAAAAAATATCTATTGCGTAAAAAGTTTTGGTTTTGTGTATTTGTTGGGTAATCACTATAGACAGCTGCAGAGTTTCTGCTTGGTCTGTAGCACTCCTACAAGAATGAGCAAGGATGTAATGAAAAAAATCCCATTTCTGCCACCACTTCCTTAATCAAAGAACAATAAAAAGAAATACTGTAAATTTAAAAGACCTTCACAACAGGGCACAATTAACAGAGAATCTTGCACCAGTCTATCCACTGATCCAACAACTAAAGACACCAAAACAGCTGCCTATTAACCAGGTAAAGCTGGCATTAGTTCTTAAAGGGATATTCTAGTAAAAGGTTAAAAAAGGGGGGGAGGGGAAGGGGCTGGGACTTCTCCATCTATTACAGAGTCCCATTTATGTATGGAAGACACACGCCAGTAACTTCATCAACTGGTCACCATAAATGTCTAAAAACAAAATACTTTGGAAAAATAAGTGTGTGTCCACACAATTCCTTTCTACAGGATACCGATGGATACATTCTGCTACAGTGACATAAAAGCCCAGTTTAAAGGGATCAAATAGCTTTTCCTTGGCATTTACCTGGGTCCCATGTTCTGAAAGTACTGGGAATGGTTGGGGAAATTAACTTGTTATCCTAGATCTGTAATGAATATTAAATGTTTTACCAGATTTCTTTTCCTGACCGGTTGACTGTAGCATACTGATATTTTCTTACATTTTTCTGTGTGTATAATTTCTCATGACAGTATTGTGTGTGACTTATTGAGCGTAATCTCAATAAAATCGCAATTCAACACAATCTGCTACGCTGCCCCTGAGCAACTAGATTGTGGCGACTGCTCTGAAAGATTATTAGGCCCAGAAGAATTCTAGACTAAAAGAGTAGAGGCATCCTTGAGGTCATTTTAAGTACACGTTTAACACTACCCTCTAGATAACCTGGAGGCCCAAAATAACCAAGGGTCATCTGGATAAAGGGTTGGTCAGATGGCTCGTCTTTCATTGAACCCAATCTACATTTCCATGTAATTTTCCTGCATTTATACATAGTGTATAGTAATTACAGAGATCGATAAAAGAATTGCACATTTTAACCCCGTAGCTGAATTTGATGATGGAACGGGGTGACAATATCCAACTTTGGCTAATTTTCCCAGCTTGACTATTTCATCTGAAATTGTGTACATCACTGTTTTTATAAATTATACTGAACAATGGCAACTGTCTGCTCAGCGGATTTCACGGGCTTAGATGACGGGCAGCTATTTAGGATCATTAACTTACACACCGAAAATAAATAAATAAAATGTGGTGACATGGCAATGAGCTATAATAGTAAACTCAATTGATCACAGCAGGTCAGACTCTGGTCCTAAACACAGGGTCCCGCACTCCTACATCTTGCCTGATCACCACCCTTTCATTAAACTCCCACATTCACACTGCATTAAGCAGGTCAGCTGCTGACCCTTGGAAGGGTAGGATTCAGGTCACAAGACTTGGTTTATTGCTGAAAATGATAGATTTTGAATGGTTTCTATATGATTTAACCTTTACATCCAGCTCGAGTAACTATGAGATGGCAAAGTCTAAAGAGAACAGCATTTCTCTATTTTACTCTGTGGAGTTCACAAATAAGGATGTTAAGATGCAAACATTAAAGGACCACTCTAGGCACCCAGACCACTTCAGCTTAATGAAGTGGTCTGGGTGCCAGGTCCTTCTAGGGTTAACCCATTTTTTCATAAACATAGCAGTTTCAGAGAAACTGCTGTTTATGAATGGGTTAAGCCTTCCCCTATTTCCTCTAGCCGCTGTCTCATTGACAGCCGCTAGAGGCGCTTGCGTGCTTCTCACTGTGATTTTCACAGTGAGAGCACGCCAGCGTCCATAGGAAAGCATTGTAAATGCTTTCCTATGCGACGGGCTGAATGCGCGCGCAGCTCTTGCCGCGCGTGCGCATTCAGCCCAGGAGGAGGAGAGGAGGCAGAGAGCTCCCCGCCCAGCGCTGGAAAAAGGTAAGTTTTAACCCCTTTCCCCTTTCCAGAGCCGGGCGGGAGGGGGTCCCTGAGGGTGGGGGCACCCTCAGGGCACTATAGTGCCAGGAAAACGAGTATGTTTTCCTGGCACTATAGTGGTCCTTTAATAAACAGATTATCTTCTAACGTGTTAAAGGAAGAGAACTCTTCTGGTATTCGCTTAATACAGTTTGTAAGCAATCATTTTTTCAGGAATTTATTAGAAAGAAGCATGGAAAGGGGGACAGAGGCAAACAGAAATTCTGTATTACTGAAAATCTAACCATACCAACACAACTTGATCAATATATTAAAGTTCCCTTTTTTTGTTAAAATAAGTTATTATTAAAGGCACTTACCGGTTCTTCTCCAGCTCGTTGTGTGTTGATCTGAAATTACAAAAATGAAAGCCGTGAGGTTTAACCCTGGTGTACATTATCATTCCATCACATAGCGTGGTGCATTGCACAGTGTGCAGATTTGGAAAATTAAAGGACCACTATAGGCACCCAGACCACTTCAGCTTAATGAAGTGGTCTGGGTGCCAGGTTCAGATAGGACTAACCCTTTTTTCTGTAAACATAGCAGTTTCAGAGAAACTGCTATGTTTACCTATGGGTTAATCCAGCCTCTAGTGGCTGTCTCATTGACAGCCGCTAGAGGGCTTCCGCGCTTCTCACTGTGATTTTCACAGTGAGAACACACTTACGTCCATAGGAAAGCATTGAGAATGCTTTCCTATGGACTGGCTGAATCCGCGCATGCGCATTCAGCCGAAGAGGAACAGGAGAGCTCCCCGCCCGGCGCTGGAGAAAGAGGTAAGTTTAACCCCTTCCACCCACTAGAGCCCGGCGGGAGGGGGACCCTGAGGGTGCCAGGAAAACAAGTGTGTTTTCCTGGCACTATAGTGGTCCTTTAATTCACAGTTGAAGGGGTTAATTTCTGTTCAGCTGAAATCCTAAGACCAACCGCTTTGTACATTGCAAGGACGTCCACATCACCATATGTAGTTTTGCACGTGACCATTCTTGTTCCCCCTCTAAGAAGACACTACCCCTGCATCCTTCTATTCCAAGAAGACCCCGTGTTGCTTGCACGAGCTGTCCATGGTATTAGTTAGTAGTTGTCAATATTTGATTTGTAATTTTAGATACTCCCATTTATTATGTATTATTATAAAACCTCTTTGCTGTTTAATAGACACTTTCTAAAACGAACTCCCCTGTGTATCTATCAAGACAGTACTTGAAGGGCATGGCTTGTACTGGATAGAACTGTAAGACAATGGAAGATAATTCTGGTGATCACCAAGGACAGGACAATATGTTCCAACAAAAGTAAACCGATATATTGTAACCAAGGGTAGTCCCCCACTTCCCAAGTCACACACTATATCTACATATCTGCTCGTAAACAAGTGAACAAATCCCTAGGTTTGACTTTGTAACATTTTGTTTTGTGTTACACACACTGTGACACAAGGCACAATAACACAGCCTGAATCATTTTTAACCTTGTATCTGTAGTTCTTGGGTTTTTCACAACATGTCCACCCTTCATCAATGATCGAACATAAAATGTGAATGGTTTGAGGTTCACTCCCAGTTCACTTTGAATTGCTCACGGAGCACACTGAATGACCACAACAGTTGATGTCTGCTTGATTTAAACGTTAATGGATTGTCTCCTCCCACACATGGAGGTATTCGTGGTGGGATAAAAAACAAATCTGTTTTTTGATAGCTGAAGTTGGTGTGGTCCTCTTTCAAGTACCGCAGCCGCTACAGAGCGCTTCCTGTCTTTTCTAGTGTTGGCTGAGAGTCTTCAACTCATGCTCTCATCCAATAAGCTAGCCCTACACTGCAAAGCTTAGATCAGGTTTAACGCCTGCTCTGAGCTTTTTTTTCTCTCAACACCAGAAGGAGTCCAGCAGGCCCCAAGTAAAGAGTATAAAGCCAAACAGCAATGCGGTAGTGCCAGGGCACTGTAAGATAGCGTGATGTAGTGGTTATGGTGCATGGAAGCAAAAAAGACAATAATAAACACCATGCTCGCTGCATGTTCAAAGCTACACACACCACCACACAACACAAGCATTTAATAAACTGGAACTATTAATCTTGCCTATTGTAGTTCAGGGAAGGCAGTTGAGCGATACTGAGAGAAACAATAGTAGATGGTAAAGACGCACTAAAATTTATTCTGAAAAACAAATTGGCCTCCATCCATATTTCCCATCACCGCTAGACAATTTTTTTATTTATTTTATTTATTTATTTTTGGGGTGCCATGAACAAAGGATATAGACTTACCTACTTTAGCTCAGTCTCCCCAAAACAAACAATAAAATGCTAAACTATCATAGTCCGCGCTTTCCTAGTCAAGTAGAGATGTCTATTAAAGATATTCTGAAATGCACACGTAATTAACCTATTTTAAAAACACACCCAACAAGAATCCTCAATTTTTCTTGTCTTTTTCTGTTTTGTAAATATTGTACAGCGCTCCAGAATTTGTTGGCGCTATATAAATAATTAATAATAATAAATACATTTTGTTTGTTTACTAAATGTTTGTGGTTGACACGGTGCTTATCTTCAGTATAGAATACTATGAACCCATGCGTGACCATGAATTTAATAAGAATATTGAGCAGCCCTATATTCCAAGAAAGGGGCCTTCAGTATTTGGAAGGGAATCCCACTTAAGCTTGTGGTATGTCATCAATAGATCAGTTTTAACGCCGGGAATTTCAAAGGGTACCAACTGCCGAACTACACCAGCGTTTTCAGAGATAAGTCATTAAACAGCTGTTGGTAAAATCCGGCTGTACTACATTTCCAAAATATCCATTTCTGTGGAGCCAGCTGCATTGGGAATTAGTGTCCTGCATTTATAGGCTTCCATTCACTTTCTATAATCAAATTAAACGTTCAACATTTTACAAACCGAGCACAGCTTAAATATTTAACTACACTATGAACACGCACGCAGGAGCTTTGTCTGCTATGCCATAACGAATACACACAGGTTCCAATAGTCTTTCTGAACTGCATAATGATAGAGAGGGCACAGATCGGCTGAAAGCTTGTTGCCATTGCTATAAAACTAGCAGCTTAAAAGGCTTCTGTATTTTTATCAATCTATATTTAAAAACAAAGCGTGTGTATACATACGCAGATCTACTTTCTTGGGAGGGGCGGAGTAAAGAGATAAAGATACGTAAATGTGTCTGTTTAACTCTAGGTTGTTTTTAAAAGGTACTCTAAAACAACTTTCAAGACCGTTGAATTGTTAGGAGTAAGACTTGCGTACGTTGTACGATGCGCACACACACACACAAGAAAGACGAAAGAGTGTTTATTCTACCTATAAAATGCTGACGGGGAGAAAAGGGTTCTAGTTACATGTCTGGTTATTTGATGTTTTAAGTAGAAGGAAAAAAAGTGTGCATATGAAATTCTAATTTTCGTGTTTATTTTTACACACGATAAACCCTTTAAATCAATGTTAATAGAACCTTTTTTTTTTTTTGTAGAATAGAAGGTCTCTTACAGGATACAGTTATCTGAATGTATCTGTGTGTATTTTGACGTGTTGATTTCTTAGGGGGTTCACTTCAGCATATGACGGGTTTCTTCATAACACCGAATGAAAATACAGGGAGTGCAGAATTATTAGGCAAATGAGTATTTTGACCACATCATCCTCTTTATGCATGTTGTCTTACTCCAAGCTGTATAGGCTCGAAAGCCTACTACCAATTAAGCATATTAGGTGATGTGCATCTCTGTAATGAGAAGGGGTGTGGTCTAATGACATCAACACCCTATATCAGGTGTGCATAATTATTAGGCAACTTCCTTTCCTTTGGCAAAATGGGTCAAAAGAAGGACTTGACAGGCTCAGAAAAGTCAAAAATAGTGAGATATCTTGCAGAGGGATGCAGCACTCTTAAAATTGCAAAGCTTCTGAAGCGTGATCATCGAACAATCAAGCGTTTCATTCAAAATAGTCAACAGGGTCGCAAGAAGCGTGTGGAAAAACCAAGGCGCAAAATAACTGCCCATGAACTGAGAAAAGTCAAGCGTGCAGCTGCCACGATGCCACTTGCCACCAGTTTGGCCATATTTCAGAGCTGCAACATCACTGGAGTGCCCAAAAGCACAAGGTGTGCAATACTCAGAGACATGGCCAAGGTAAGAAAGGCTGAAAGACGACCACCACTGAACAAGACACACAAGCTGAAACGTCAAGACTGGGCCAAGAAATATCTCAAGACTGATTTTTCTAAGGTTTTATGGACTGATGATATGAGAGTGAGTCTTGATGGGCCAGATGGATGGGCCCGTGGCTGGATTGGTAAAGGGCAGAGAGCTCCAGTCCGACTCAGACGCCAGCAAGGTGGAGGTGGAGTACTGGTTTGGGCTGGTATCATCAAAGATGAGCTTGTGGGGCCTTTTCGGGTTGAGGATGGAGTCAAGCTCAACTCCCAGTCCTACTGCCAGTTCCTGGAAGACACCTTCTTCAAGCAGTGGTACAGGAAGAAGTCTGCATCCTTCAAGAAAAACATGATTTTCATGCAGGACAATGCTCCATCACACGCGTCCAAGTACTCCACAGCGTGGCTGGCAAGAAAGGGTATAAAAGAAGAAAATCTAATGACATGGCCTCCTTGTTCACCTGGTCTGAACCCCATTGAGAACCTGTGGTCCATCATCAAATGTGAGATTTACAAGGAGGGAAAACAGTACACCTCTCTGAACAGTGTCTGGGAGGCTGTGGTTGCTGCTGCACGCAATGTTGATGGTGAACAGATCAAAACACTGACAGAATCCATGGATGGCAGGCTTTTGAGTGTCCTTGCAAAGAAAGGTGGCTATATTGGTCACTGATTTGTTTTTGTTTTGTTTTGAATGTCAGAAATGTATATTTGTGAATGTTGAGATGTTATATTGGTTTCACTGGTAATAATAAATAATTGAAATGGGTATATATTTGTTTTTTGTTAAGTTGCCTAATAATTATGCACAGTAATAGTCACCTGCACACACAGATATCCCCCTAACATAGCTATAACTAAAAACAAACTAAAAACTACTTCCAAAAATATTCAGCTTTGATATTAATGAGTTTTTTGGGTTCATTGAGAACATGGTTGTTGTTCAATAATAAAATTAATCCTCAAAAATACAACTTGCCTAATAATTCTGCACTCCCTGTATAAGATGGCTGTTGCTGGGATCCAAAAATTGTATTGGGTAAGGGGCAAGAAAGCAAGATTTATAACCAAACGTTTCTTTGTAAGTAGTACGCCTAACGCCGTCTGCTTTGTTACTGCAGACATCTACTAATTGTACACAGAATAAACGCAAACACATATTGGGGGCTTGCTATTGGGTTAAAATAAAATGTCTTTTGGGATCTATGGCTCTGAAAGGGTGTTCAGAAATAAATCCAATTGAAGTACGGTTACAGTATACCAACAATAAAATGCTTTTCTGTGTCACTACCTTAAACTACCCCGTGATCCAAAAACAACCCAATCGAGGGCAGGATATCCTTTTCCTATGGTTGTTTGGACACAGACTTTCATCTCCCAAAATAAAACAGGTTTTCAAAGAAACAGCTGATTATAGGATTTTCGCAAAATACTGGCAGAGGCGTGTTGGATTCCCACGTTTGGCAGTAGAGCAGAGTTCTGCCTATATTGGAGGAGGTGTAGCAGACTAGACTTCCTAAAATATAATAAGTATATTAACCGCAATGAAGACCTCATATTATTTAATAGCTTGATGTCAGGACTGTAAATCTACCTATTAGTTGACAAATCGCTTTCACACCCATGTGGCTAATAACTCAGGTTTAAAATACACAACGTAAAGGGACACTATAGTCCGCTGCATTCTCACTGTTACATTATCTGCCATTTAGGAGTTAAATCGCCTTTTTTCTGTTTATGCGCTCTAGTCACACCTGCCCTGGCTGTGACTGATACAGCCGGCATGAAAATAAAATAGTTTCACTTTCAATCAGATGTAACATACTTTTAGTTTTTTGTATCTCCTGCTTTGTAAATTGAACTTTACTCACACACAGGAATCGCCTGCAGGGTCTAGCAAGCTATTACACAGAGCAGAAGATAAGAAATTCTAAATTAAACAAAATTTGTTTAAGGAAGTTTAAAAATTAGATGACTCTTTACAGGAAGTGTTTAGTAAGGCTGTGTAAGTCACATGAAGGGAGGTGTGACTAGGACTGCATTAGTAAAGTGACAACTCCTAAATGGAAGAGAATTGTGCAGTGAGGCTGCAGGGGTGGGATCTATACACCAAAACTGCTTCATTAAGTTAACCTTGTTTTGGTTACTATAGTGTCCCTTTGACAAAAAAATAAATATTTAAATAAAAATAGATCTTTAGATTTAAAAGCTTGCTGCATTTAATCACACTACACAGTGAACACTTTGAAATCGAGGGGCTGATCACGTTGCATTCCTGGAAAATGGCACAGAATCATTATTTGCCAGATTGCATTATTTCTCACAGTTTGTCTCTACTTGTCATGTGATAAAAACAAGTCACAGCGGAACGTTCACATGGCTTTCAGAGTGCAATGGATGTCAGCAGACCATCTGTGAATCTACAGAAATACAGTCAGCATTCCACATCTGCATGTTGCTTTTCAGTGATAGATAAAGATATAGGATGGGGAGAATGAGATTAAAAAAAATAAAAAATAAAACTTTAAAAGGACCACTATAGTGCCAGGAAAACATACTCGTGTTCCTGGCACTATAGTGCCCTGAGGGTGCCCCCACCCTCAGGATCCCCCTCCCGCCCGGCTCTGGAAGGGGAAAAGGGGTTTAAACTTACCTTTTTCCAGCGCTGAGCGGGGAGCTCTCTGCCTCCTCTCCTCCTCCGATCCTCCCCGCCAGCTGAATGCGCACGCGCGGCAAGTGCTGCGCGCGCATTCAGCCGGTCGCATAGGAAAGCATTTACAATGCTTTCCTATGGACGCTGGTGTGCTCTCACTGTGAAAATCACAGTAAGAAGCACGCAAGCGCCTCTACTGGCTGTCAATAAGACAGCCACTAGAGGATTAGGGGAAGGCTTAACCCATTTATAAACATAGCAGTTTCTCTGAAACTGCTATGTTTATTAAAAAATGGGTTAACCCTAGAAGGACCAGGCACCCAGACCACTTCATTAAGCTGAAGTGGTCTGGGTGCCTAGAGTGGTCCTTTAAAGGTTGCGTGGATCTTAAATTTAGGAGAATAAAGAAAAAAGAAAATAAAGAAAATGTATGAGTGGGGGCCGGGGCCTGACAGCGATGGCGACTGGACGTGTTTACACTGAGCTCCTCATATATTCCTTGATTTGGTCCAGTCGCCCTTGCCATTTACATTTCACCCTGGGCAATCTGAGACTCTTAGCTATCCTGCATTGTTGACCAGCTCGGGGTTGCTTCCAGCGGTCACTGACGACTGCTCTTCACAAATTGAGTGCGAGGCCTGGCGAGCCCAGTATTGGGGAGAGGCGGCCAATCTCCCAGCCTAACGCGTGCTAACCTGAAGCACCAAGGAGCTGATGCCCCGCTACCCCTATCTGGACCGGTGGGGGTAATCCCGGTCCCCACCTTGTTGGTCCCTACACTCCATGGGAGACTTGTGGCCCTGCTAAACTCCGCAACTCAACCCCAGGCTTACCTAACATGGCGGAGGCTGCATGTCCCCTGACGCACCAGAGTGAGCAGTCTGCATTGGAGTCCAGGCTGTACGCCATCTTTGACAGGTCCTGGATGGAACTGCATGCGACACAAGCCCTATCAATTCAATTACCAGCAAGGGTAGGCCGGCTGCCCTAGGGCAAACTAGCAGCTTAGGGCCCAATGGCAGCCTGTTCCCGACGGCAGAGACTGCGCCGGCAGCACCAGAAGCTAACATCACATGGCGCAAACCACGAGCGGTGTTCCGTGTAAGAGCTGCAGAGCAATGGGAAGCACTGTGCATGGACTGACCGCTCATTCTACCAATTTGTCACAAGTGCTTGAAGGACACAGATGTCACCACAGCATCATACTGCGGGACTGTATCGGGCCCAGAACAGGCATCGACTGAAGTGTGATCGGGGGGCCTTGACGCGGCTCTCTCTGGGCCATGCAAGCCTACCCACCCTGCGGAGAACTGCTGATGTACAAGTTACTCCTTTAATTGTGGGCAAATTGCCGCTTTCTGTGCTATAATGCCTTTCCATCAATCAATTATACTTTTCCTCCATCCATATAGAGGGGCCTACAGAGTGGTAACCTTGTGATGCTGAGCAGATCAGCTAGTCTAGCTTGTCTCACCAATTACTTATTACTAACTTTAGTTAATTAGTAAAGTAAGATAATTATCTTACTTTACTAAAAAAAAAAAAATGTTCGGACCATTGTATTACCTGCTGGATATAACTTTTTACACTGCCTTCCTTACTGTATATGAGCAATATCCATGTATTAATGCACATCAGAAATAAAGAATATTAAAAAAAGAAAATGTATGAGTGATCCAAGGATCTAGATTTCCTTAGAGAAATGTATAAATGTGTGAGTCAATTAAAGAACATTACATACATTTACTTAATCCAGCAATCACAGGCATTTATCAGGTTTTAATTTATATTACCGCATAGCATAAAAACAAACAACGAAGCTATGACTTCGGGGGCACCCCAGCTGGTTGCACATGATGCAAGCTTTGGTTCCATCACCAAAATCCAACAAAAATCTAGCTGAAGGCGAGGAACATTTAAATATGTAGGATTCTCTAGAATGAGATTTTGCTATTTTTGACCATTCAAATTTTAGGGAAATTCCAGAACAAAGCGTAGTCTAGTAATAGCCAGACTTAGTTTATTGTTTTTGTGTTTTTCTGGAATGGTGACGCAGACCAGAGTCTGGACATATTTATTCTTTTTGGTGGTAGAATTGTTTGAAGAGCAATTAAACGAACACTCTAGTATAGTAAATCTATCCTGCATGCTTAATAATCAACACGACCTGCCATCCAGTGCTTCAAAAATACTGAATTCATTCTTTCTCTGTAAGACGCATTAGGTGTGCGTGGGGACGCCAGACACACAAACCTTTGAAAAAATGGTCTTAAGGAGAAAGTGCTTTAGTGACTCTCTGTCCTGCAGCCACTAAAGTTGTGTTCTCAAATCTAAACATTGCCATTTCTCTGAAATTGCAATAGTTTATGTTGCCAGAGAAAAACGAGCACCTCGATGCACCACATCCGTTAAGATGTAGTGGTTTTGGTACTTGGTGTCCCTTTCAAACAAATTTTTTTTTAGAAACACATTTAAAACCTCATTAGCGTCAACGAGGTTTAATGAAGGGCAGATCATGCCAAACTAACTTAATTGCATATTATAATGAGGCACAGAAATCATGGATGAGGTCTTTCAAGTGATCTGATCTATATGAAATTTGCTAAACCATTTGACACAAAAGGTTATTGTGCAGATTTAAAAATTCCAAAGAGAATGCTTGTATAGATGAGCTACATGTCACTGCCGCTGATGAGGTTAAACATCTTAAAGCAAAATTAACTTTATTTTTCAATTATAGCCTTTCAATGATATGTTTTCCTGTATAATTTTTAAGAGCTGCAAAATTTTGCTAGCTCTACATAAAATGATTATCGCCATAATTTAACTTATGTGTTGACATTTGGGACCCATAATTCAAGCTCCTTGATTGTTTCCCGCAAAAAACGAATAAATAAGTAAAACTAAAAAGCATTATTTTAAATGCAATGTATTTGCAGGATATATCCAACATCAATAAAACTGTAATGGAAGCTTTAAAAAAAAAAAAAAAAATTATATAATTTCAGAATTGTAACACCATGCAGAATGCCTTCTTTGGTAGGAATAGAAAACACAATTAGACGCTTGTTACTGTCTCTTAATATGTAAATGCTGAGGGCCTCGTACTGTGTGATTTAACAGCCAAATGTCTTCCTTACAAAGAATCGTGTGGCAGAACTGCCAGAACTTTCAGGGTAATTCCTGTGCAAACTGGAAAAATGTTTTGCAACAGAATATTTAATGACTATAAAAAACTGTATACAGAGAGTAAATATCATAAAAACATGCACTGTTGCTTCAGGAACTTTAGCATATCACAATAGCTAAACTAAAGGGGGGGGGGGGATAGGGGGGTGTGTGATTTGTAAACTCCCATGGTGCTGTGCGTTTAGATCAGGTGATAACGAATGCATAAGTCTGTCACTATGAAAGGAAAAGCTGAGGAATGGTCATACAGAGCTTTACTTATATCCACTGTGCTCCTTGCTCCAGTGAATGCTTTTATTGGGGTAAAGGGATTTAAAGGAAAACGCCACGCACCATAACCACTACAGCCCACAGTCAAAGTAAGATGTGAAGCTATTTTAGCACGGTCTGACGACTTACCAGGGTCCCCTGGGTGCCCTTGCCACAGCAAAAGCTGGAAGTCTCTGTGGAGTACTGCATAGCCATCCAATGAGCACAGACCTGTATTGTTTTATAGCACACTCCAGCCTTTTTTGCATAAGAAGGCCAGATGTAATGGATGCAGTGCGGGCCCCCTGTGGGAGATAAGTTGTCAAACTGTGCTAAAATGGTTTGACATCCTGCTGTTGGACATCACCAGAACACTCCAGGCACCATAACCGAAAATGTTATAATTATGTTATAATTACAGTCCTTAGCTGTTTACGCTAACGGTTACGGTCCTTAGCGTGTTTCTTTAAGGAACTGTCACTTTCAGAGATATCCATGTATAGGTAATGGAAATGCACACTATCCCTTGTCCTGGAATCCTGGGTAAGCCCCAGTACCAAAGGGACCAAATATAAATATAGAAAAGAATCCAGGCACTCCAAGGTATTCCAACAAATAGGCCCCTTAGGGCTTGACAAAGGCCCTAAGGGGTCGAAACGTTGTTTTTTGGTGCTTGGGTCCAATAAAATTGCCTATTTGTTGGAATACCTTGGAGTGCCTGGATTCTTTTCTACTTGCAGAGATATGACTGCTCTTTAAATAGAATCACTAGGCTGGACTCAGCAGAGTGCAGGCATCAATGTGGTATCTAAGTATGGTGAATGCAATTCGGATTTAATCAGCAGAAATCCTTCTAAGATTGGTTTTGATGGTTTCTGGAATAATTGGCAAATGGGAAGCTACCTGTTGGTGTTATTTCCAAGACTGTTGCTACATCGTTTAGATTTTATCCTTCGGGGTTTTAGCCGGAGTAGATCGCAGGTCTCAGGGGCCGGGAATGTAGAAGCATATCCGTGTTCGCATTCTGAAAGGACAGAAATCAGAGTTAGAGCGTCAGCACACTGGGCAAGGCACTGGAAATGGAAAATGCCACACTAAAATTTATAAAAATACAAATCATGACAACAGACAATGGCCAGTTGGCCCATCTAGTCTTCCCACTACCTAAACATGTACAACTTATTGCTAGCATTGCCGTAGGCATATACCAGACAGCTTGTCCAAGAAGTTTCAGGTAGCCATTTCCCTCCCCAACCACTTCTGTTAAAAGGCAGTTCCCGTCCTCTACTACTCTTTCAGCAAAATTGTACTCTTGATGAAATGGCTGGCCCTGCATAATAACAATACAAAAAAAAAAAAGTAAATGAAAATACACATTCAGACAAACACATTTTAGAATACCATTCATATAAAAAACAAGTTTTAAACACTTTCTCACAATCAACTGCATTCCAAACACAAACACACACACACACAATGTGCATTTCTCGTCATTAAATAGTCACAGTGAATCATTGCATTTATTTCACGGGAGTCTGTCTCGTGGGAATAAATGTCTTTATTTTTTATCATGCAGGACAAAGATTACAATGTAATATCTAATATTGGGTGGGGATCAGCAGAAGTTGGTTAACTAGGCCGAATATGGAGTTTTGTGGGGGGTTTTCCTTTCTGTATAAGACCCTGAAAATGCTGGTTGTGACTAAAACAAATCGTAGTGAATTCATGGGATCATTTAATAAAACCAGTGCGGCGGATCGTGAGACGCCATGTGCATACACAACCAATTTCTCCGGCCACGACTGTCCAGTTGGCAGACTTTTATTTTTTATTTTTACACACCTGGCAGGATCTGGCACACCTGGCAGGCTAGCGATGAGTACCCATGGACCACGGAGGTAAGTGGTCCGTGGGTACGTATCGTTAGCCTGCATAGGCACCTTTGGGCTTACTATATAGAGCCTGTAAAGGCTCTGAAATTTGTGAGTGTAACCATTTATTACTCACTTTTATCCTACAGTACACACTATGTATTCTATTATTGTTTTTTAGGCACTGCTGAGACTCGCTTGCCATCTGTGTTGTGTATATACATAAGTATAAACTATTTAACCATATATCTGTATTTCTCTTGAAGGGTGCACTTCTACTCTGTGTTTTAAACATGTTGTTGATTTTTTGTTTTATCGCTCAATAAGCATGAAACCTTTCTCTTTCATATTTGGGTTTATAATCATTTTATTCCCTATAACTATTATAAATATATATTATTTTATTTTTTTTCCTCTCAATGTTGCTGCCTTGATCTTTTTATTATCTTTTAGTATTCTGCATATAATTTTAAAAGTATCTATGGTTCTATTTCTCTTTTGTACATTTTTTACATGGTAACCAAGGAGGAACGTAGATGCTTGATTGTATAATATCCTCGCACTCTCTTTCTGGTAAATTCTGATTAAAAATAAACAAACATTGTCAAAAAACAAACCAATATGCACCCTTTAATTAAGGGCGTCTATATACGATGACCTGTTTGTGACAGCAGACCTACCAAACATTATCTAAAACGGTCTTTAGAAAACAATGAATTCTAGCTTCCTGGTTAATATACACCCCCCCCAGTTTAATCTCCAAAACCCCCAGAACCTCGCCCACTACTTTTTATGGTCCAGATGTGCAAGTGTATGTTTCTATAGTACATGGGTGGTACAGAATAACAGGATTATTTTGCATTTTAGCATTACGTAAACATTGCAAAATATTCTTAAACAAAAGACACGTGTGTAATCATAGAAACGCCAATCAGAATTTAGAACACACAATTTATCGCATATTTAAAATGTTCGTCCATTTAAATCATTGTGCCCAAAATTCCCCTTGCTGCTTTAATTACTAAACCTACAAAACTGTAATTTTTGGAAATAAGTTAATGCGACAAAAGTCATTAATGCGTACAAATATTTTCATTAATTGATGCCTTTAATTCCATGTTTATAGTTTCGAGCTAATACTTTTATTTAAATTGTAACTACAGTCTGTAAGAGGCATGATTTGCAGTATGAACGCTGGTCACCAAAGCGAGATCTACACAGCCATCACAAGTGTAAAGAAAATGAGTTAACCCATTCAATGCTCTGCAAGAAGCCGTAACTTATTGAACTAAATTACTATATACTGTACTAAATTATAGGCCTACATAAAATCCAAGTGCTTAATTAAATGTGTTGGCTATAATTAACACTAAAAATAAACATCACAAAATAGTTATTTACCTCGGTCTCGCCTTTCCAAAAATTCAGCCGCTTCTAAAAGCCTCTGGATATTCAACATTTGCACGCAGTCCATATTCGCCCCCAAATATTTTTATATTTCAAACCAAAAAAAAACCGAACAAAATGCACTAAATTTATTTTGTTGCTTGATTTTTCTTTAAAAAAATAGAAATAAATAAATAAAAAAGCTGTTTATGATACGGAATAAATTCTTGATTTGAATGAAGGAAAAACCGTGAAAAAAAAAAAAAAAAACTTTAAAAAGGTGGTATAAGTTTTTCAGATATGCAAGGCCCTTGAAGAGATTTAGTGCGGGGGGGGGGTTATGTTGCCAAAAGCGAAAGTATTAGCAGCTGATCTCCAGAGCAGAAATATAATATATATATATATATATATATATTTTTTTTTTACATGTAAGTAGTTGGTTAATTAAGAGAAAAAGTAATGTAGGTGATATTTAGAGAAGAGGCTGAGAGTGAACAGGCAGCACTGAGAGTCAGTCTCACTTTGTTTACCTCTTGCAGCAAACAGAGAGGGCTGGTCACACAGTGGCAGAGGTGCAATGGATGCAGGGAAATGTAGTCTTTGTAACTATTAGCAATGCTTTCTTTTTTAAAGGGACATGCTCTAGTCCGTTTACCGACCCTGCTGGACTGCTTTATGCCTATATTGAATATGCATTTGATTAAGAAAATACCGGGGGGAATACTGTCCTTGAAATGTCCTTCTTTTTTGCATGTTTCCAAATACATCGCTTTTGGTAACACTTCTAGGATTTTTAATATTACGTTAACTTTTCCCTATAGATTTTATAAAATGTGATTTGAAAAATAAAATTTAAATGTAGAAAACCACTTTGCTATACAGTAGAACTACTCTGCGCCATATTATAAACTCAGCCCTTTGCTTACGGAAGCAATATTTCGTTAATTTTTCTTCCAATGTAATGTGCGAAGACCGAAACTAGAATATAATTTCAGTAGACAAATCTTAAAAAAAAAAAAAAAAATTCCCACAGCATTACATAAAGAAGGCTGTCACAAGTTATAGGTGTTTTTTCGATGTTCTGTACACTTTAAAGATTTCACTAATTTGAAGTGGTCATGGTGCCTGGAGTCTGTATGTGCAATGTTTCACTTTGCAACGCTGCAAATAGTTTAACCGGAGGTTCCCTCTAGCATGTGAGCTCATTGAGCACGGCACTTGCCACTTCTGTTACTGTGCGTCAAACTTGTCTGCTTACATATATACGAGTTTTGGTCTACCCATTGTATAGCGCTGCGGAATTTGTTGGCGCTATGTAAATAATAATATAGAAATCTAGAATTCTACTAACTAGTGACACTACAAGTTTAATTAAAAAGAAATAAGAATGTTCGTTTTGTCTGGTGACATGATCTTTATAGTAATGCCAACCAATCAGAGGTCTGCAGGTCAGATGTTGTTCTTGGTATATTTTTTGGGGGGTCCAAATTCCGATCCGAGAAAATCTTTTCTAAACTACAAGATGGCAAAGCCTTGACTGAGTCGTCATTCTGCTGGAGGGCTACGGTTATCAATCCATAGATTTGTATTGCAGAATAAAATACTGCTTCAACCTAAACTTGTAACAGGGAGCGAGGCACATTCGCCATGTTTTCCTACAAATAAAATCGCTTTAATGTTAAATGTCAGAAATGGAAATGTAACCAAAAATAGCTGAAATTGTTAAAACCAGTTTGAATTCACTCTGAATACTGGTTAATACACACTTTAGTGTATATCCATCCATGTGTTGATGGGCAGTACATGAAAAGTGCTCCCCAGCAGCATGTGCAAATTCATATGTTTCAAGATTTTCCACTGGTTGATGACTTCAAACCTTCCTGCAGTATTCAGTTCTACATCTTGCAAGTCAGCATTTTTCATGCACTGCCCATCAAGTAAAAGTTTTTACTGCGCTATGGACCATGTTGGTGCTATATACAAACTCTTCAATTTATCCACAAGCAAATACGCCTGTTTTTACATTACATATTAGTTATACTCACAATATTCATAATATAATAATATATATAACTAATCATAAGTCTTAGTATTTTATTCTAAATTGTATTATTCTGGCACATATTCACCTCTTGGATTGTTGTATTAACATAATAACAGGTTAGTGGGTTAAAGCTATAATTAAACATATTGGAAAGGCAGGTTAACCAACCATGGTATTTAAAGGGTTACTATGTGAAGAATTGGACACTGTAGCTTTAACAGTAACTGATGACATCACCAGACCTGCGTTCACAGACCCGCAATGACACGCCCCCCGGCCTCTGGGCTCAGCAACGCGTGACGTTGCAGTCTCCTGGTCTCTGATTGGTAGATAAGAAGAATTTGTCGTCCTGCCCCTTTGTAGGGAGCCAATAGGAAAGGAGGAATTGTCTCCATGTGGAAACCATGTGTGAGCTCAGGAAGTGCAAGTCAGGTGATGTTACAGCTCTGGGAGAGAGAGAGGCTCTGCACATACACTATAACCACTGTGTGTCACAGACAGAGGCTCTGCATATACACTATAACCACTGTGTGTCACAGACAGAGAGAGGCTCTGCACATACACTATAACCACTGTGTGTCACAGACAGAGAGAGGCTCTGCACATACACTATAACCACTGTGTCAGAGAGAGAGAGAAGCTCTGCACATACACTATAACCACTGTCACAGAGAGAGAGAGGCTCTGCACATACACTATAACCACTGTCACAGAGAGAGAGAGGCTCTGCACATACACTATAACCACTGTGTGTCACAGACAGAGAGAGGCTCTGCACATACACTATAACCACTGTGTCAGAGAGAGAGAGAAGCTCTGCACATACACTATAACCACTGTCACAGAGAGAGAGAGGCTCTGCACATACACTATAACCACTGTCACAGAGAGAGAGAGGCTCTGCACATACACTATAACCACTGTGTGTCACAGACAGAGAGAGGCTCTGCACATACACTATAACCACTGTGTCAGAGAGAGAGAGAAGCTCTGCACATACACTATAACCACTGTCACAGAGAGAGAGAGGCTCTGCACATACACTATAACCACTGTCACAGAGAGAGGCTCTGCACATACACTATAACCACTGTCACAGAGAGAGAGAGAGAGGCTCTGCACATACACTATAACCACTGTGACACAGAGAGAGAGAGAGAGAGGCTCTGCACATACACTATAACCACTGTGTCACAGAGAGAGAGAGAGGCTCTGCACATACACTATAACCACTGTGTCACAGAGAGAGAGAGAGAGGCTCTGCACATACACTATAACCACTGTGTCACAGAGAGAGAGAGAGAGGCTCTGCACATACACTATAACCACTGTCACAGAGAGAGAGAGGCTCTGCACATACACTATAACCACTGTCACAGAGAGAGAGGCTCTGCACATACACTATAAACACTGTCACAGAGAGAGGGGCTCTGCACATACACTATAACCACTGTGTCACAGACAGAGGCTCTGCACATACACTATAACCACTGTGTGTCACAGACAGAGAGAGGCTCTGCACATACATTATAACCACTGTGTGTCAAAGAGAGAGAGAGAGAGGCTCTGCACATACACTATAACCACTGTGTCACAGAGAGCGAGAGAGAGGCTCTGCACATACACTATAACCACTGTGTGTCACAGACAGAGAGAGGCTCTGCACATACACTATAACCACTGTGTCAGAGAGAGAGAGAGAGGCTCTGCACATACACTATAACCACTGTGTCAGAGAAAGAGAAAGGGGCTCTGCACATACACTATAAACACTCACAGAGAGAGAGAGGCTCTGCACATACACTATAACCACTGTCACAGAGAGAGAGGCTCTGCACATACACTATAACCACTGTCACAGAGAGAGAGGCTCTGCACATACACTATAAACACTGTGTCACAGAGAGAGGGGCTCTGCACATACACTATAACCACTGTGTCACAGAGAGAGAGAGAGGCTCTGCACATACACTATAATCACTGTGTGTCACAGACAGAGAGAGGCTCTGCACATACACTATAAACACTGTGTCACAGAGAGAGAGACTCTGCACATACACTATAACCACTGTCACAGAGAGAGGGGCTCTGCACATACACTATAACCACTGTGTCACAGAGAGAGAGAGAGGCTCTGCACATACACTATAACCACTGTCAGAGAGAGAGGGGCTCTGCACATACACTATAACCACTGTGTCACAGAGAGAGAGAGAGGCTCTGCACATACACTATAAACACTATCACAGAGAGAGGCTCTGCACATACACTATAACCACTGTCACAGAGAGAGAGGGGCTCTGCACATACACTATAACCACTGTGTCACAGAGAGAGGCTCTGCACATACACTATAAACACTATCACAGAGAGAGGCTCTGCACATACACTATAACCACTGTCACAGAGAGAGAGGCTCTGCACATACACTATAAACACTGTCACAGAGAGAGAGAGGCTCTGCACATACACTATAACCACTGTGTCACAGAGAGAGAGGCTCTGCACATACACTATAAACACTATCAGAGAGAGAGAGAGGCTCTGCACATACACTATAACCACTGTGTGTCACAGAGAGAGGCTCTGCACATACACTATAACCACTGTGTGTCACAGAGAGAGAGAGGCTCTGCACATACACTATAACCACTGTGTGTCACAGAGAGAGAGAGGCTCTGCACATACACTACAACCACTGTTTGTCACAGAGAGAGAGAGAGGCTCTGCACTTACACTATAAACACTGTCACAGAGAGAGAGAGAGAGAGAGAGAGGCTCTGCACATACACTATAACCACTGTGTCACAGAGAGAGAGAGAGAGGGGCTCTGCACATACACTATAAACACTGTCACAGAGAGAGAGGCTCTGCACATACACTATAACCACTGTCTCAGAGGAAGAGAGGCTCTGCACATACACTATAACCACTGTGTCACAGAGAGAGAGAGAGAGAGAGAGGCTCTGCACATACACTATAAACACTGTCACAGAGAGAGGCTCTGCACATACACTATAACCACTGTGTCACAGAGAGGGGCTCTGCACATACACTATAAACACTGTCACAGAGAGAGGCTCTGCACATACACTATAACCACTGTGTCACAGAGAGAGAGAGAGGCTCTGCACATACACTATAAACACTGTCACAGAGAGAGGCTCTGCACATACACTATAACCACTGTGTCACAGAGAGGGGCTCTGCACATACACTATAAACACTGTCACAGAGAGAGGCTCTGCACATACACTATAACCACTGTGTCACAGAGAGAGAGAGAGGCTCTGCACATACACTATAAACACTGTCACAGAGAGAGGCTCTGCACATACACTATAACCACTGTGTCACAGAGAGGGGCTCTGCACATACACTATAAACACTGTCACAGAGAGAGGCTCTGCACATACACTATAACCACTGTGTCACAGAGAGAGAGAGAGGCTCTTCACATACACTATAACCACTTTTTGTCAAAGAGAGAGAGAGAGAGAGAGAGACTCTGAATATACACTATAACCACTGTGTGTCACAGAGAGAGAGAGGCTCTGAATATACACTATAACTACTGTCAGAGAGAGAGGCTCTGCACATATACACTATAACCACTGTGTCAGAGAGGCTCTGCACATACACTATAAACACTGTCACAGAGAGAGAGAGAGACTCTGCACATACACTATAAACACTGTCACAGAGAGAGAGGCTCTGCACATACACCATAAACACTGTGTGTCACAGAGAGAGAAGCTCTGCACATACACTATAAACACTGTGTGTCACAGAGAGAGAGAGGCTCTGCACATACACTATAAACACTATCACAGAGAGAGAGGCTCTGCACACACTATAAACCTATTAACACTGTCACAGAGAGGCTCTGCACATACACTATAAACACTGTCACAGAGAGAGAGGCTCTGCACATATACTATAAACCTATAAACACTGTCACAGAGAGAGAGGCTCTGCACATACACTATAAACCTATAAACACTGTCACAGAGAGAGGGGCTCTGCACATACACTATAAACCTATAAACACTGTCACAGAGAGAGAGAGGCTCTGCACATACACTATAAACACTGTATCACAGAGAGAGGGGATCTGCACATACACTTTAAACACTGTCACAGAGAGAGGCTCTGCACATACACTATAACCACTGTGTCACAGAGAGAGAGAGAGGCTCTTCACATACACTATAACCACTGTGTGTCAAAGAGAGAGAGAGAGACTCTGAATATACACTATAACCACTGTGTGTCACAGAGAGAGAGAGGCTCTGAATATACACTATAACTACTGTGTCAGAGAGAGAGGCTCTGCACATATACACTATAACCACTGTGTCAGAGAGGCTCTGCGTCAGAGAGAGAGGCTCTGCACATACACTATAAACACTGTCACAGAGAGAGAGAGAGAGACTCTGCACATACACTATAAACACTGTCACAGAGAGAGAGGCTCTGCACATACACTATAAACACTATCACAGAGAGAGGGGGGATCTGCACATACACTTTAAACACTGTATCACAGACAGAGAGAGAGAGAGAAAGAGGCTCTGCTTACACATTGGGTACATGTTATATTGTGTGTAACTGTGTACACGTGTTCACACAGCACTGCTACAGACGTGTGCATGCTGATATAATCAATCTTGGTACATTAATGTACCAGATCTTGCACATCAAGCTTTCACATATATGTACCTGACCACTCACAGTAACATTCTACCTGCATGTACCCAGCCACACACACACAAACCTACATGCATGTACCTGGTGACTGATTTGGCCATTGGTGGGCAGCTTTTTCCATGCATGTACCAAGCATACATAAGGATTACCCTCTACAATACATGTACCTAGCCCACGTGTGTCTGATCTCTCAGAGAAACCCATTCCATGCAGGTACCTGGACACACTCTGCAGCCTATTCCATGATTTACATGTATTACATGCCTGTATCTGGAGCCACGTGTTTCTTTGTTCCTGCCAGCCCCCTAATATAATGTATTAAATATTCAGATTTCTCATTTCTTTTCAGGAGTTTGAATTCCCTCATCTGACTCTGAAACTGTTTAGTAGATGTTTGTTTAGTAGTAGCCAGAATCAGTCTGGGTTAGGTACAGGGATACATTGTTTTATAGGTAAATATTTGCTATAAACAGCCAGGGTTACATAAACAGTGGAAATCTGATCCCTCATTCCATGCATGTTTAGCAATAAATAGTCACCATGGAAACCCATGGACTCTGATTGCCTCTTTTGACACTTTGTATTAGACTTGTTCCATTGTTCCCGATCTCTGCAACACCTTGTGATAGCAGCTCTGCATGAGCTCCTCGCCCGGCAGATCTAATGTCCCACAGGGGGCACCAGCTGTGCATCCTGGGCATCCCACTCACAACTCCCATCACCAGCAGGCAGCATGGGCTGGTTGAAGCTGCCCCACAGGTGTAGGTTACTAATATTTTATATTTAATTGAACATTTTCTTTAATCAGACAGAGGAGGAATCCTGTCAAGCACTTCCTCAATGTAATGTATAAGTCGCATCTGTGGAGTGAAGAAGTAAAAGTGAAGCAGTCACCATGGAAACCAATGGAATGTTCCTGCTGGTTGCTCCTCTTTCAGAACTTTGCCCCAGATCTTGATGTGACTCTGTGAAAACTCAGTCACTCTTAGAAACACAAACACATTCCCACCCTGTTAGTTATTGGCATCTTACAGTAACTAGGAGCCACCTCATCTGGTGGGCGGATCCAGGCCCTCACTACTACCCAGCGGATCACTGCAGCTCTATATCTACCACTAACCGTGTCATTGCATGTTCAAGGATCCCATACACAAACCAGAAATGTGTGTGTGCCCATGTTAGTGAGTTAGAACTAGTTAGTTAACCTTGGAAAATAGACTTAGTCCAGTGTGTAATAACTAGCTAGCCTGTGTTGGCTCGAGTTGATAATCTCTAGTTAGTGTGAGTTATGCCTGATTAGGGTAGTTTGCCTGGCTAGTATGCATTATCTCTCGCTGGTTAGTGTGTTACAGCTAGTTAGTGTGAGTTTAGCGAGTTATTCCTGGTTAGTGTGAGCTTAGCGAGTTACTCCTGGTTAGTGTGTTTAAAGCTACTTATCGTGAGTTTAGCAAGTTATCCCTGGTTAGTGTGAGTTATCCCTGGTTAGTGTGAGTTTAGTGAGTTATCCCTGGTTAGTGTGAGTTTAGCGAGTTATCCCTGGTTAGTGTGAGCTTAGCGAGTTATCCCTGGTTAGTGTGAGCTTAGCGAGTTATCCCTGGTTAGTGTGAGTTTGGTCAGTTATCCCTGGTTAGTGTGAGTTTGGTCAGTTATCCCTGGTTAGTGAGAGTTTGGTCAGTTATCCCTGGTTAGTATGAGTTTAGCGAGTTATCACTGGTAAGTGTGAGTTTAGCGAGTTATCACTGGTTAGTGTGTAAGCAAGGCACCCTACACTGTCTGGTTAATGCTATTGGTCTATGAAGCCCCAGCCAAGGATAAGCCAGTCCAGGCTCCCAGTGCAGGTGGCTGGCAGCAGGCACAGCCCAGGGGGTACACCCACCCCCTTCCTACACTCCGAGCCCATTGTGTCCCAGCCCAGCCCTGACATTGTAGAAATTGCCATATTGTGCAGCTATCAGACCTGCTGCCAGTGTGACCAGCCTGAATCACAAATGGCTAATCCTTTGTTACACAAAAAGCAGCTACCAGAAAAAAACTCTAACAAAGAGCCATCCTCACTTCAAAATGGATCACCCCCAAATATCAGTAACACAGCAACAGGGCTCCCCTAAACCCCCCCATCAGCCAAAAACAGGGCTCACCTAAACCCCCGATCAGCCAAAAACAGGGCTCCCCTAAACCTCTCATGACCCAGAAACAGGGCTCCCCAAAACCCCCCCATCAGCCAGAAACAGGGCTCCCCTAAACCGCCCATCAGCCAGAAACAAAAATTATAAAAATATATTAAACATATTTCAAATCCCACAACTCCTGCTTCATGCAGAATACATTCCCATCTCAGTGCAACAATAGATGCTCAGCATTAAACTTGAGTAACCCTTGTATTTAACCATTTCAGTAATAAACTGGTGCCAATAAACAGCCCAGTGTTCGCAAGTCACATTCCCAGCGCCTTCTCTCTGGAGTGGATTGTGTGCCCCCACAGCCAGATGGCAGGGTGCCCTCTCCTAGCCCTGTCTGGCTGCTGGCACTGACTGACAATAGCTGAGTGTGCACCATGCAGACTCCTTTGTTTAGCTGTGTGCCCAGGAGTCTGTGTACCCCTTATCCCCCATCACACACCCTCAAACTTACTTTTCCTGTCTTGGTCCAGCCTGTCCAGGTAGCTGGCAGCCTCCAGCAGGACTTGCACATTGTCCAGGAAAGTGGTGATCTGTCCCATGGCATCAGCTTGAGAGCTCAGGATGGCAGTGAGTGGGCACCTGGGCATCTGTGATTTATCAGAGCAGGCAGCCATGAGTTCTCTCTTCAGCTGACCCTTCACCATGCCTGCCTGTGTCTAGGATGGATAAGGGGGTCTCTGAGACCCTCTGTGCACTTTATCTGCTGCTGTTGAATGAATGGGAGCAGACAGGTCGCCGGGGGATGTCGGGCAGGTCCTAGCGCCGCCTGATTCTTGCACTTTGTGTGTGTTAGCAGGAGAGTGCTCTCATTTACCGCCAGGGAACTGGTTTAACCGCCTGTATAGCCCATTGGAGGGAGGACCACAGATAGCTACACCTAGCAACTCACTGGAGATTTAATTAAAGCAATTACTCATTGTTCCAGATATTGCCTTCTGGACTTTAATTAATGCAAACTCCATGCTGCTAGTATACTTTGTATCCAGTTTCACACATTACCCTGTTTTATTTTCTTTTTAAATATCACTGTCCATTTACTGTCAACATCCAGCAATACAGCTTAACTAGTTAGTTTCCAGGGGGCAGACATGGCTGGCAGAGATTTAGCCCTTTGCCCAAGAGTTATAGAGCAGTCTGTACAAAGTATTTAGTGCAACTCCTTGCAATTCAATAAAAAATATATTGTCCCCTATGTATGGTGAGTAAGTGGAAGAAAGATCAGAGGATTTGCAATAAAGAGGAAATGTACATTTTTAATTTTAATATTTGTAAATTTTAATACAATGCAATAAAGGTTTTTTTTTTGTTTTTTTTTATGCATATTTTCCAAATATCTAAATTTCAGGTGTATGCACTAAAACAAAGGATTGCATGTTTCTTTTGTTTTGTTTTGTTTTTTTGCCAAAATAGTCAAATTTGTAAAAATTGGCCACACCGATTTTATTCTTTGAGTTTGGGTTTTTTTTTTCGCCGAAATGTAGCACTTTCCACCAATCTCCAACTTGGCTAATACCACCGATAACCTGGCCTCTGAAAAGGACCGAAAAGGCATCTCATTCAAATGTGTCAATTTGATTTTCCCATGATTCTTTGTTTTTTTGATCCATAAAATCTTATGACGAGAGTTTTCTAGAATTTACATCAACAGGGAAGTGAACAGAATTTGGGTTCACAAGGTGAATTCTCATTAAAATGTTAATCTTCCTCTCAGACTCCTCCTACAGCGCACATCCTGGCCTGCTATACCTGGTCTATTTCTCAAACATTTTTTTTTTTCTTACAGGCTCCAAATGAACAAAAGCTGGTTTATACACAATATAACTATATAAATCCACACTGCACTTCACAACCTTCGTGGAGGGCCAGGAACTATGGGAACTTGAAGATCTTCTTCAAAATGGCGGCTCCAGAATGCAAGTAGGCTTTTCATTCCCATGTAAAATGTAACTTTTGGGGTGAATATTCTTATTTCTATTAATTTTATATACCATTATTATAAACACCTGTTGACACATTATCTGCTAATGTTGTGGGAGATGCCGGTATATTAGAGAGAGGTCTATTAAGCATTCAAGGTTCATGCAGGTTATCGAAGATTCATTAATTATCGTTTATAATGCTTAATGTAGCGTCTAAGCATGGAAATTGAAAAAATATATATATTTTAAAAACATTCCTGTACAAAGCACCAACAAAGTCTGCAGTGGTGTACAATGTGTGAGAGAACACCTTTTCAGACAAGGCCTAAGCTGTGCAGAAACTTGCTCACAAAACCATACAGTGTAAACCAACTGCACAGCGGGCCTCAAACAATGCTTATCGCACACGGACAGGCAAAAACCATAGAATATTGTGCTAACACGACAACTGGACACACAAAGACTTCTTAACCTTAATAACAATTTTATTGATTCAACCTTTTTTTTTTTCTTCCTTAAATTTTTCGTTTTATTGATGTGCAGTTTTCTTTATAGCTTCCCTTTTTTTTTTAATATTGTTTGCAGTTTACTATAAGGGGGTAAGGCTCAGTTTAAAAGACAACTTGTATTCTAAAATCCATAAAAGTACAAACTATAGATTCTTTAGGACATTGTATCGCAATCACCCTCCGAGTTACAATAAGCATCTCACTTTATCTATTTCTCAAACTCTGTTAACAGCAGCACATCCTGTTACACACCAGCTAACTGGGCCTTTCGTAACAAGGCGTGTGAAATCTAACTGTTACAGATCTGGAGAAATCGGCGGACAAAATCAGTGACATCCTGACCTGGAAAATCAAATTGAGGTTAATGGCCGTTCTGTTAGCCATTATTACAGGGTCAGATGCATTAGAAATTTGTGATCAATATCTACATGGAGAAAACGCACAATCAGATTAGAAAATATTCAGAAATCCTTTAATTGTTTTTGTTTTTGTTTTGGTTTTATATAAGTGTCAACATATTCTGCAGTGTTGTACAATTGGAAAACAAAACATACAAGTTCTTGTCACTAAACAGGTGCCTGGAGAAATCTGTCCCTAATGGGTTAACTGTTACATATACTCCATAATACTGGAGTTTGGGGAAAAAAGGACGGGATTAGCTGCCCTCTGGGGTTTTTTATCTTTCGAAGTGCCAAAGATTAAAGGTGCTTTTAAATTAAATGCAGGTCATTTAGTTCCTTTAATATGAACATACAAGTGTGCTGCAGAGCGTCTCGGTACGAAGGGGTTAAATATGTCATTTACACAGAATAAACCCTCATTACTAATCCTTTTGTGGCAGGCCCACTAAACTCAGGCCTGTCTGTTCCTTCTGTCCTGATCATGCCGGCTCTTGCTGGGTCGCCCTGTGTCTGAGCTACTAATGACAATACACAATGCAGCGCGTCCATACAATCTGCCGGAATCCCCTCCTAATCAGACAGGCTGCAGCTGTGTGCCTGGGCTTAGCATAGATACTTCTCATACTCCCCCCCCCCCAGAAAGAGACACAGACAGGCAGACACCTTTGTTTAGGAGATTCTATTATTAGATCTATCTGTGGCCTAGTTTGTACACACAGGCTACCTGTAGGTACAGAATGTTGTGTGTTTGGGTCTCTTAACCCAGAATATCTACAGGTGTATGAGGCGGTGTGTTCCAGACTCTCTATAGGTGTATGAGGCGGTGTGTTCCAGACTATCTATAGATGTATGAGGTGGTATGTTCCAGACTCTCTATAGATGTATGAGGCGGTGTGTTCCAGACTATCTATAGATGTATGAGGCGGTGTGTTCCAGACTATCTGTAGATGTATGAGGCGGTGTGTTCCAGACTATCTATAGATGTATGTGGTGGTATGTTCCAGACTATCTGTAGATGTATGAGGCGGTGTGTTCCAGACTATCTATAGATGTATGAGGTGGTATGTTCCAGACTATCTCTAGGTGTATGAGGTGGTATGTTCCAGACTATCTCTAGGTGTATGAGGTGGTATGTTCCAGACTATCTATAGATGTATGAGGTCTTTGTCAGAGGAGGGTGTGTAATGAAGACACAATAATTTGTGTCACTTTGCGTCCCGTTCACAGGTTTATATGATGCAACCATCCACTTGCAGTACAGTACTTTCCCGGACCGGTCGGTATGTCCAAGTACACCCTGCCTCTTTCCCGTAGCTTGCTGCCCATTGATGTCAACTTGGAGACCCTAGATCTAAAAATTTGCATTGACCCACATCTAAAATTACATTTGTTTTCCTTCCCTCTATTAGATTGCAGGCCTTGGCCTGCTGCCTACGTGAGCTTTATGGTATATGTGCAGGATTTTATTGTATTTTGGGGTGATTTACCCAAGCTCCATTCTTTCTGTATACAGAGACGCATAGAACAAGCTTGTAACACTTCCACAAATGGCTTTAGCCAGTATGTAACTTACAGGTTACTGGTCTCCAGTAAAAATTCTCACTGTCTCAATATGAATAGGCTATTAGTTACTTTATCTGCCGTATGTGAAGTCATACCCTGTCCTCCTCTTTTAGTGGAGGCTGAAAATGTTTGTAGATAGTTTGTTGCTAAGTTTGGAAAAACCAACCACTTTAAAGAGGTTCAGCTCCGCCATGCTTTTACCCAAAAACCGCAATAGAAGAGAGGACACAATGTAGGCCTGTCTTTTTAGGGTGTCCGGGATCTGACAGCCCAATGCAGAGCAGAACCTCAGAGACTTTTCTGAATATTACATTGTTTAAAATGTTTATTGGCACCTAGGTTTAAGCCTCAGCCTCATGTCTAGTATATGTGGTTACAGTGTTGCTGTTGGCGTCACTGGGCTGAACGTTACTGATGGATTTATAAATATTGGAATTGCCCTTGTCAATATAGAACTGGTGCTGGACATCATGCGCTTCGTGCCTTGGCGTATGGCGAGCCTAAGATGTCTCCCTAATTGACAAAATGGTGGATCCTGGGTCTGATCAGGTTTTTGAGGCAGCAGCATTTTCTGCACCTGTTCCCTTTTTCCTTGGGATAAGTCACTCATAATCCCTTTACTCCTATCACCTGCTGTCTCTCCTGTCTGCCCCCTATTTGAAGCTCGAACCTGCTTGGCGGCTAATAATCATGCTCGCCATCTGTTCTCCAGGGATTTGTGGTCCATTCGACAATTTCAGTTTCAAAGGATAAATATTTAAAGAGACATTATGAGCTTTTCATAGTGAGGCCTAGTGCAGTGCGGACTAGCATTGGCAAACCACTTGTTTGTGAATTATACTTCCCTTGATGCATAGCCATCCTGAAGACTAGTTAAACATCTTTAGAAGCATCGGGTTGGCCATAACTGCACTCCCCAAGATATGAACCCCAGACAGTGAACTCCAGGATCGGGCTGAATGTGAGTGAGGGTCCGAGGATTTGGAGTTTTTAGACTCCGTTATCACCTTGCCAGGTGAATGGGCACTTCTCACACCATAAGACCATACAATTAAACCGTGTTTTCTGATGACGAGAGGCACATATCTGTACAATGTAGAGCAGTATTTACTTTGTGGTCTTAGGTCTTGAGTACTGAATGCAAAAACACCCAAATCTCTTTTAGAGACACAGAAAGGGTCACAATTATGTATAATAAATATGAAAATGAAAGAATCACGGAGATTGTAGAACGGGTCCAGAATCTCATTACTGTGCTGCCAACATGATCTTCAGCAACAGTGACTTATAAGGTCCATGCCACTCACCCCAAATTTTGGATATTATGTATTTCAATTTTAAAAGTGAAATACTTTAAATTTACTTTTTTTCTTTCTTGTAAAAACCAAAGCACAAACTGGT